ATTTTCATCTTATGTGCATGTTCACTTGGAGAGACATAATCTAAAAAAATAAAGATACAGAAATCACTAAGTATCATTTGTTAATAATGTATTGATGTGTCACTGCTGCAAATAAGTATTTTAACACTTGTGGAAATCAGTGATAATATTTGGTATAGTAGCCTTTGTTTGCAATTACAGAGGTCAAATGTTTTCCTGTAGTTTGCAGGTTTGCACAAACTGTAGCAGGGATTTTGGCCCATTCCTCCACACAGATCTTCTCCAGATCAGGTTGCTGGGCTGTCACTAAAAACCTAGATATGCTTCTTACCTCTTGGTTATCCTGCCTGTGTACTTCGGCTCATTATCATGTTGGAAGACCCAACCACGACCCATCTTCAATGCTCTAACTGAGGTAAGGAGGTTGTTCTCCAAACATCTCGCAAGACATGACCCCAGTCATCCTTTCAATACAGTGAGTCATCCTGTCCCATGTGCAGAAAACTTGCAAAGTCCCAGGGTGTTCAAATATTTATTTTCCTCACTGTATAAGCAGCAGCCCTGAAACATTAAGTTTAAAACTGAAGAGAGCTTGGAAGGCAAACACTGTTGGCTCAGTCAAGAAATCTTGAATAGCTGAACGGTAAAATTCTCATATACAATCAAGGTACACAAAAGGACGACTAAAACAGCTTAAAAAAAGAAAAAGGAGTGAACAGCTTGTTATGTACTTCCCTCATCGTACCATACCATCTTTGGGTCTGGAGCATGCAAAAAATGAGTGAAGCCAAATCGCTCATCAACATAAAAACACAATGCTGGCTGTTGTGGTTTTATCAGCTTTTGCCATTTGGAAATGCCTCTGCTTGTGTAAGCCAGCTGCAAAACAACTGATAAACCTACACTGGATTTTATTATTTGGACATTTTCAAAGAGATGTATGATATGCATATGAGCAGATGTGAGTGGAGGTGAGCCGTTAAGAAACCTGCCCGTCTGTTTGCTGTCTGTTGACAATAACCACTGAAAAGAGAGTGATTAAAATCGATCCACACAAAAAAATGCAAAAGTCCCTTTTGATTATCTCTTTTCTAAAGCTCACCTCGGCTGTCATCACTTCTTAATAAAAGTTCAAGAAAATACTGGATTTACTCTCTGTGTTTTAACTACCACTCTACCCTTCTTACAAGGATAGAGTAAATCTATAGATTTAACAATGCCAGATGTCAATTTTATTTTTAACAAACCTGTAAGGGCATTTGCTTAAGTTGAAATGAAAACCCAGCAAACACTGAAGTCTCTTTAAGGTAGCCACTGTACGTTTCCTCACAGCTGCACTGAGGCTGCTTTTAGCAGAAGTCGTGTTTTCATTTTTACATGTCCCTCTTGAGCATGCACTAACACACCTGTTATTGAAAGTATGTACATGTGGATGGGTTCCAAATTCACTTGTATATGCTATAGAGTGCAGAGGTTACTATGTCTCATTTAGTTTATTGACAGGTTAGTAAAAGGTTGAATTTAGGGGAGGTGAGTTGGAAGCAAATCCTGAAGACAATACGAATAGAGCTGGAAATGTACCGACATCTTCAAAACCTCCTTTAAAATCTAAGTGAAATTTTAAGCAATAGATGGACATTTGATCGAAACTGTACTATTTTTAACAGATATTTGACCACCATACTTTAAAAACTTTAGGATGGACTGTCAGTGTATTGTATAGTTATGGTTGTGCATTTTAATGTTACGACTGTTCTCTGACCATACTACGCTTCTTATTTGCTAGATTTTAAAGCTCCTCATTTGTCCTTGCTTGTGTTCAGGTCCTGCTATGAGCACTACCTCAACAACTTGTAAATGATAAAGGATAATACAGATAATTCTTATTCCCATTATGTTCTTCTCCTGAAAATGTAAATCCTTTTAAAACAATGTTGTCAGTTTAGTTGCCCCCCACCCCTTTTTTGTAAAACCACAGGGTGTTCCTTTAATTGCTGTGAAATGATAATATCTGATAATAAAAAAAGGCAGAGACTATCACCATAGTTTTAATTTATCTCCTAAATCTGCGGAGATTGTGATGACTCCATTCAAATGCCAAAGTTAAACAGACAAACATCCTGTTGGTCTCTTGCCAGGACTGAAGGAGGAGACAGTGGAGAAATAGAAAGGGTGAGGAGTGGATGGGTACTTTCTCTTAACACACATGGCTTCATTTTCCCCTCCCCACTGGGTAGCCTGGCCTTGCACAGGACCAGAACACTAAAACAACCAAATATGGTGTTCAATAGAATGGCAGGGTATTTGTGCCTGCTATCCCTTACCATCGCTTCTCCAATCATTCTCAATGTGCTGCTGGCACATCAGGAGGATTTGCAAGGACAAGTGCTTTAATAGGTAAGGATAAGCTGAGCGCCCTTTCAGATGAGAACAAAACAGAAACAGAGATACTTCACAATTAATTGAACTGTTCAAATCCAACAGTATCAAAATAGTGTGATCTCTCACTCATAACCAAAACATCTAAATGGGGTTCTCTGCATACTTCAAGGTCTGGTCTGCAAGGCAAGAGGAAAAAAAAGTGCATCCACAATGTCCATATTTGGGCCGGCAACTTTTTCCAATCCTTCCTCTAAGACATTCTTCAAAAGGTCCATTGACCTCCCAACAAGCTCAATATGACAATACTGACATCTTCTGGCAAGAATGCAAGGCAGTTTTGTTTAACAGCATCATTTGGCACTTTCTGTTTAGACACTTAAAAAATCGTAACTTTAATTGTCTTTATTGCCTATATTTGATCCGATGGAATGGTTAAAATTTTGTTCAGTACAAGGCTATAACGGGGATGATTAGAATGACAAACAACTTTAACATATTATTATTTAAAAAAAAGGACAACATACTCTCTATCACTGCTCATTTGAAACTCTTTATTTTTGGTGAATACAAAAAATACCTTTGTGACCAGATAAATATTTTACATACAGCATCAAATCAAAACTATTGCAGTTTGTTAAAGAAAGCACAACATCTATTATTAAACGGAGCAAGTTTCTATTACGCTGTTCCCGTTAATACTTGAACACATTGGTCAGACACTACAATTTAAGGTAACTCTTACATTTACACATAAAAACCTCTTTTCCTATTTGTTGGGCAATGAAACAAAGAAGTTACTCAGTTCAACATTTAATAGGGACTTGGTAGAATTAATTTAAATAATTTCTGGACTTCAGACACAAATTGCCACATGCTCATCAAATGCAGTCTAGTGTTAGTCTCTAAAATCTAAAGTATCCATAGATGCCCTTATATATCAGCATTATAACTTTTCGGCAGGTAGGCCTCCAGCCAAGGCATCATACTGTATGGCAAAGGACTTGTTATTAAGACCCCAATTAAACTGGCATATTGTTTTAATCCAGAGGGGACAAGGCTCAGGCTCCACCCTAGCCTGATCATCAGCCGCTCACAGGGCAGACTCAAGTAAGGCACTAGTACACAATGCAGACCAGACACTGGCATGGACAGATTGAGAATGTGAGCTGCTGAAATATTGAAATATCATATAGCATAAGACAGTCAAGGAAGAAAAATATGACTTTCCTTTATCAGAGCACAGAACTATTCACTTCTGCTTCGTTCAAAGAACTTTTCATGGAGTGTAGTGGTAGCTTCAATTACTCGTCTTCAGTGCATAAAATAGAAGCAAATAAAGAGCATAATATATGCTCATTTCATTTAAGAGCCTTAAGCCCAGTATAATTGCACACAACTTGTTTTTTAACCAACAACAGCGCAGACTCATCACAACCTTGCTAGAATATTCAGTGTAATATATGTCTGTAGACATACAGTCTAAAGTGAAATGGCTTTTCAAAGACAGGGCAGTGACAGGTGGAGAACATCTGTATGCGAGTGTGTTTGTGTACAGTACATTGGGCACTTGAACAAATCTGGCCAGTGCAAACGGTGGAGGAATTCACCCAACAAGCCAAGAAAAAAGAAGAAGAGCCACAACAGATAATGTAAACATACTGAGTATGACATTACACAGCTCTGTGTATTTGAGGGAGGAACCGGTGGGACTAGTTTACATTATGTAATGTACAAACAGCAAGATATATTTGGTCACATTAGTCAAGATTCTCTGAATCACACACATTACGCCTCTGTTCTTTTTATAAATGTGTAATAAGGATTGTATATAACCATTGTCATTTTTCTTTGTTTGACATTAACTCTTGTTCGAACCCCCTCTGTGTTTGGCATCAAGCTAATCAGCTTAGTTTAATCAGAATCCATGACTCTAAAAAAAAAAAAGCTTTGTTTAAGTGTGAACTCCAGGTTCACATTTACAGTAAAATACAAGTGCCTTTCCGTTCTACTACTACTCTATTGGTTAGTAGCTTGACTGATATGTGTGGAGACTACGGTGCATGCAAGCCCGTGGTGAAATGAGCCTACCTCTTCCTGCCATCTTTTTTATTCATCAATTTTTTTTAAATGGAATCCTTTTTTACATTTAACATACAAGCTATGAACCATTAGCTGCAGAACCACCCTCTGTTTATTTCTATTTGTTTTAAACCTCTTATGGTTACGGAACATTCAGTGATAATAGAGGAATTCTGCATTTGTAACATCTTTGATTCATGATTGTAACAGTCAGTAATGCTCATGATGCACCAACACTTAAAAGCAAAGAGAAATTCACCATGGAAATGAATCCAGCTGTCTTGATTTGCGTATAATAACCGGCTCCATATCAAAGTTTGAATGTCAATGCCATCCACTTACAGATACATACATACACCACACACCCACTTACACGCACACAAATACACTAAAGAGCACAGGCACTTGTTTTTCACACCAAACAGGCCTGTTTCAAGTGCTGTATAGTCATTGGTTGTGTGGGAGTAAAGCAGCCGACAACACTTCACCCACATGGCAATATCTCCACGTAAAAGAGGGTCTCTTCTGCACAGCAGCATACATCCCGTCAGCTCCGTCAGTCAGCCCTCATCCTCCCTCAGCTCGCTGGGCAGGAACTTGTATTGCTGCTGTCGGATCTGAGCCAGCTTCTTGCGAGCTTCTTCCAGCTCACGCTCCTTCCTCAGCATCTCCTCCTGGGCTGCAATGATCTGTAATGAGGAGATAGAGAGACACTCCCTGAAACTGCTCTAGTTTAAACAACTTAAATGCCAACCAAAGGCAGCATAAACCAGGGATTTGCACCCTCAAATGAAAGAAAACAATGCAACAGGACCTGGAAATGCAGAATCTGATAAAAAAAAAATAAATAAAAATCAACATGTTATTTATATAATTGTTTGAATATTTCTTCACAGATCTTGGTGGATTACTCGCACTCATAAATAATGGATTTTGAAATGAAAAGCAAAACAGAAGCTTAACTAATGATTGAAAAAGCCCAGAGGAGTCTGACGCTAAAGCTGTATCGAGAAAAAATAAACCAAACTTGGCACCTTACTGCATATTACCATGAAAAGATATTTTTTAATTTAAACTGAAAGAATAATCTATCAACAAGATGTCTACTGAGAGAAAATCAAAATGATCTCCTCTTTATCACATTTCATATTTCATTCCTTAACAGTAAGGTGTTTTTCAATACATGTTTACTGTATTGTGACATCCCCATTTATCAATACAGCATTTATGAGCCAAATAGAAAAAAACCCCCAAAACAAACAACTTTTGTTGTAATTTCGCCAAAAACAGTAAAGATTGTACTACTCCCCACGATGTAAGAGTTTTATGGAATGTGACAACCTGAAGCCCAGCTGGGCTGCACCATTGAGATAAAAGCCCACTTAAGATTAAAAAGAAACATAAAGCACTCAACCCTTTGCATTGTTTTCAAAGATGAATAGGAAGCGATCTCTTCGACGGAAGCATGTGAAAAATTGTCAAGTGATGTGATATTTTACAGCTGTGGATGGGTAAAAAAGCTTTGAAAAAGATCCGATGGGCTGTTCAGCTGCAGGGGCTCATCACAATTTCCGATAAACAACTGTGCCATTTTCACTCGTCAGTGAGACACAGAAACACTCAATGAAAAGGGCAAAAACACTCAGTGAGGATTTCAGTCGCAGGACTCTGTCTCACCTGAGCTATGCCTCCGACAAATTTAGTCTTCACCACCACACTGTCATCCTCGGTTTTGTCAAAGGCGGCCTTCTGAGCTGCCTTGACCAGGTTGTCTGAGGCTCGCTTCACGGCATTGCCAGCACCCTTCACAAAGAAAATTCTCCAAATTAACATGGTTATATGTTTTGGAATCGAATGAAATAAAGCTGTTCAGTTTCGGTGGTTACCTGAAGTCTCCTCATGGCTTCAGAATCCTGGTCAGCCTTCACCTTGCAGGCCACCAGCAGCTGGGCTGTGGAGGCTGCCACCTGCTTGGCTGAACAGATGAGTTTCTCCTCACTGGCGTGGCCCTGCACTGAGGCGTTAGCTGCCTCGCAAAGGTTACTGGTTGCTGCTGCTACCATACGTGCCTACAGGACATGTCAAAATGACTTTTGACTTATATCTGCTTTTATGAATTTGTATTTTCCTTCCAGATCACAATTCAAAAACTTACAGCTGATATAAGGCCCTGCGACCACTGGCCATCGTCCACTGCATTGGCCAGATTGGAGCCCACCTTAGGAAGAGTAAGGGTTGAAAATATGAACACTGCGTTGCATTATTAAAGGGTGTGCCAGTTTTCTAAGTGGTGGGGAATATATAGACTCACCTTGCCTTGTGCCACCAGTTCTCTTTGAGCTGCGGATGCAGATTTTACAAGAGCGCTAGTAGCTGCAGCGATGGACTTTGCTGCTTCTAAGATCTGCTCCTCGAAATCCAGCGTCTCGTCTGCCTGCTGGAGGGAGAACCAAATATTAGTTTAGTCTCACAACGACAGAAAAAAAATATCATTACAAACCTTAATCTGTAATGCAAGCAGGATATGTAAGAGAAATCCTAAAACACATATTTATTCAGTGAGCAGATTGCTTTTAATCATCTTTATAAAATTCCTATAATGGACTGATTTTTGACTGCAGACTGGGATCTTTCACAAAGCTTGTTCAAATATCAGAAAATCTTGCAGGACGTGACCTCACTGTCCTCAATAGTAATCAGAGTCCCTATGATATAGCATCACCAGTCTGGTCCGTTTAATCTGCCACAAGTCGGCAACAAGGAAAAATGATCACTTTTAAGTGACAGCAGAGCGCCTTGTGGATAAAATGGTTCCTTTCACCTTAGCTAAGGGGCAGTATGAGAATTGGGGGAAATAGTTCAGGGACATGTAACAAAGGGCCGTCTCCGGAACAGAAGTCAACAGCATGTGATTGACCACAGACCTCCATAAACACATAAGGCACACGTGGCTGGAGACAGGGCGGGACACTGTAGGAATATGTTTGATATATAGTTGGACTGAATAACAACCTAATATATCAAACATATCAGACAGAGCCCTGCAGAGAAGGCTTCCACGTCTACAATGGCTTGGGGGTTGGGAGCTAAGGAAGCATGCTGGGAGCAGGAGAGCCTTTCCTCATCAGAGGGTGGGAGGGATGAGGGAGCACAGAGAAGAGCAAGTAAAAAGGAAGAAGAAGAATCCTGGCTCTTCTGGAAAAAATATAACCTAAATGACTGCTTAAATGTATAGACTTGTGCTTTTAAATGTAGACTATTTGTCTTTCATGGAACTATCTTGTGCTTCTGTGCCTTTGCAAAAATAAACTTTATCATAACTTAAAAAATATAGTTTATTCTGCCGTTATTGAAAATAAAGACCATTAGATTATTTTTTTGTGTTTAAAACATATATCATGTTCTCAATTTAAGAAACTTTGTCGGGCACTTGTTTGTGGATTTCATTCTGTCATATACAAAATAAAGTATGGAAGAATAAAATCATTTTCAGATGCTAAATATTGGGGATATTATGCATGATCAGTAAGAGAAAAACAGTGACGTCCATTTTTTTAAATGGAATGGCTTGACTACTTTTTAAGCACTAGAGGGAGCCACTGACAGCTTAAAAACAAAAAGCCTTTCACCCACTAATCTCCTTTTATAAAAACAAAAGTCCTCAATAAATGCAGTCTGTGCCTGGGGAATTATAGTATGAGACAGAGCTTTATGTGATCTTTATTAAAACTGGGGCAACATGAATATATGTACTTTCATATCACAGACAAAGGGATAACTGATAATCACGTTAACAGAAAAAAAAAAGTACAGAAAAGGGGGGAAAGCATTTGAGGCACAAGACCACAACTATCCAGTCTCCAGGAACAGATAAACAAACAACACGCTCATGCAGAGAATGCCACAAAGACAACCCTGTAGTGCAAACAGAGAAAAAACAAACTCATTTTGCCGCCCAAAGGCTGTCACACATATCTCACAGCCATTTTGTTTCTCCGCATTTTGCGCTGATATTGCTTCAGATTGGTCTGTGTGCAACGAGGTACAGAAGGAAACTCTCCCAGCTCAGTTTCAATATGAAAAGCACCTCAGTTAAACAAAGGAAATAAGTTTGCTCAGCAAGAGAGTCTCTTGTTCACAAGGGTCACAACAGTTCATTGTGCATTTGAGCTCAGTCCAACATAAGCTTGACGGCCCAGCTGTGTAATTGCATCTCCTGGCAGCGCAACTCAAAATAATGTCCAGGAGTATCTTTGAAGAAAGTTTTGGAAGTCAGTTCACTGGACCTGCTCTCTGAGTCAACACACTGGATGCAACAGAGAAGCATTCTCTCCTTTCATGATATCACGTCGGCAGCTCGGTTACTGAAAAAGATGACTCCGCTTCAAAGTCAGTGTCACCTTTTTCTACCTACGCCCCACATCGACTCCCGCCTGATTAATGTCAGAGAGCTGTGTGTGGGTTTATGTGGGTGGGAAGGGGTTGAGTGGGGCATTCTTTTTTCTTTTTTTTTTTTTTTTACCTTGGGCTTGGCCCTAGGCCTGAGCTGCTCCAGTTTCTTGGCGGCAGCTTCAATGGATGCAGCCGCTCCAAGCAGCTCGGTCTCTGCGATGACGGTGGGGTCCTCAGGGTCCACACACTCTGATCCTTGCAATCAACAGCAGACATTGATTACTAGATGATTCACGCAATAAACAACAGTAAAAAATACTCTGGTGATAGCATTTAATTTCATATCACGAGGTTCTGATTATTCCATAAAAACAAACTCTCTTCTGCTGCATGAATTCAGACTGATACTACAGATGATACATCATGGAAATTGCTTTCATTATGGTGCCCTGAGTAAAGAAAAACGCAATTAAAATGAGACGAATACACATTTGACGGATAATCGTAATTTTTACAGGTTTTTAAACATCCACAGAACAAAGCTGTTCGGGGACAGCTTGGTTAAGCAGATGGGATGTTGTTTTTATAGATTATGTTGATCACAGACTAAACGCGCTCTGTCCCCCCTGCCCCCTTAGCCGTCTCCTCTACCCCCATCTGACTCTGATGAAAGGTGATCCGGGGGAACAAAATACACCATATCCCACTTACCTCCGTCTGAGGCAGCAAAGAAAGAGGAGAGGAGAGAGACACATGGGACATTAGAGAGGTGAAGTGGATAGCCCCACCGTATCTCAGGCTATACAATGAAATCTAATTCTCATCCAAACACAATCTATTACCCCTGTCAGATGCAGTACTGCAGCATCTAGAGAAAAACACTTGTGTGTCTGTGTTGTAACCATTCTAGGGAGCTTCATTTGGAGCACGCTGCACAGCAATCATGTTATGCTGCAATTTCAATATTCCAAAGTGATTTTCATGAGCCATCTTTATTAGTGATGCACACAGGTTTAGTGGCTTGACTCACCAGAGCTATAATGTTATTCATGCACAAGAGGATTAGGATGTCTCTAGCATCCCCACAATCCTGTCATGTTTTTTTTTTTTTTTTTTTTAAAGCAAACTGTGTTACCTCCTGTCAGGAATCTTTCCCTGTGTCAAACTCAGTGAATAATGCTATTTCAGCTTTGCCAGTTTTACACCACTGCACCTCCAGTGCATTTGGAAATTTAAAAATCAACAGCGAAAAAAAAATATTAGGACAGCTCGGATGCTTCCCTACTATGTATGTATCTTTTTTACACGGAAAGCAGTTTCACAGTCTTTTTCTATTAAGTGTGTTGAATACTCCAGGAAATAATGACATCAGTCAGAATGGGGTCACTAGTTATCTAAAAGTTATCGAGTGTAACTTCTGCTTTTGTGTGTGGCCTCACCTTTCATGGCCTCAGCTGTCTGGACGAGCTCTGTCACGCACGCGGCTACATGCTTCGAGTGCACAGCCAGCTGCTGCTTCTGCTCCGGCATGGGTCTCTGCAGCACCTTGAGACACAAAAGTGCAACATGCTCATGTAGACACACGCACACATAAACACAACGCGTGCAAAAGGGTCACTCCAAGTTTACTCGCCTAATTGGTGAGTTAACATAGTTAATATAGTTCTATCAGACAAGAGCATAGCATGACAGAACTATGCTGGAAAGAGCATATATTTACCGAAACAGAAAACAATGCAGAAAATCCAGCTAAATATTGGTTTGAACAAAAAAGGCAAACAAAAAAAATCATGAGCACTGAGAGTACTTTGTTTCTCATAAGATTAAGATATTAAACCTATATTAGTCAGTATTTATTAGTATTATGTGTGTATATTGTTTTTACGCCGACAGATAATGCACAAGCAAATTCAAAATATTCTGCCTTGCAGATGAGTAAGACCATTATTGTGCCGTCAGACCACCTTTCACTTATCAGAGGCTGATCGTGCTGCAGCTAAAGCAGTGGCAAGTCAAGTGCAGAAAGCCAGGGGAGAATAGTCGAGCATCTGAGGATTTCATTTCGTACATCAGAACTGATTAACTTCACCTTCAAATAGTAAAGATCAGTCAGCCATTCATCCATGAGACATATAGACACACATATCCCCACAACAGGACAAATAGCTAAACCACGAGTGAACAGGCATAAATCACTTCCATCATTTATGCATGAGACATGAGATCGCATCATTCCAACCTGCAGCACTTGCTCCAGAAGGTTGATGTATCCAGCGCAGCACTCGGAGCCATACTGCAGGGCCTTGCTTCTTAATTCCGCACCTACATCAGGATGGTGTGCCGCTTGCTGTGAAGTTTCAAGGTGGCAGGAGACGTTTAAGAAAGGACATGAAGACTATTCCGTATGAAAAGTCTGCACAGGCAATGACTTGAAACAGACTTAAATTTCTATGACTCTCAGAGGTTTGTTTTTGGCGGAGTAGATTAGCACCTTGCAGGTCGCGAGCATGTCGGAGACGGCTTTGCGGCTCAGGTTAGCGGTGGCGATCACGTCCTCCTGCTGAGCAGAGTTGCCGGCAGCCACTGCCTTGGCCGTTGCTGCAGTGATGCCCTTTGTCATCCGGATGAACTCCTCTGGTGAAGTGGACTTGTCTGGAATGTCCTTGGACTGGAACATCTGACATGAAGATGACCCATAAACACAAGTGCTTGGTTATAGTGACTGAGCTGAGAGAGGAAATGTAGAAATAAGTATTTTGTCAACAAATGGGATGGTTCACAAAGAATGTTTTTTATCTAGGTAGAACTATAATTATTTGGACTTGGTTAGGCTTAACTTGGGCTGCTGCTGTTGGTAAAACAGCATAAAGGAAACTTTTGACATTTCTTTGTCTCACTGTGTGTGTGACCCAAAGCTTGAGAGGAGCTGTGAGAACACCTGTGTGTGTGTGAACTGGGGGGTGTATAAAAAACATAAAGGACAAAAAGACTCCCAGTTTTGTTCAGAATAACAGACATAGATATCCCTGATCCTTTTTGAGCCAGTTTTGCAGAGAAGACTGTGTGTCATCATTTAACTCCCAGCAGACCATAAGAAGAGGCTTGTCAGGTATTCTTACAGTCAGTTCCTGCTTGATGCACTCAATGGTGGCCTCCAACGCCCTCGTCCCACGAGTGGCTTCATCCTCCACTGCCTTCACTGTTTTTAGAAGAGATGTGACGTTTGTCACCATAACCTGTCAGATGAAGACAGCAATATTGAGGACCACAGTTAAACCAGAAGGTGAAGCTCTTTATCATCTGTGAAAAAAAACAAAAAAACTTCTTAAACATTTTCCCTCCTGACAATGTTGGAGGGGATTTCCCCCAAAAAATTAAACAAAAGAGCTGCTGGGGGAGGAAAATACAGAAGGATGCATTTAAAATGAGAACATAGTGATTTACTGCTGGTAATCCAGTTTATTTACAGACTCAGAATGAAAAAAAAAACAATTTACTGACTCATTGTGACCCATTCCACCATGTATGCTTCATCCAGCAAAGTCTCTTTTCTGGTTTGGAATTTAAGAAACATGATCACCAGGACTTTGAGGGTGTTCCATTCGGAGGTCACCATATGTTAGGGGAACAGAAACAATCTGTCAACATGAGCAAGTCCATGGGTGGCCTTAATTCCATTTAGATGAGAAAGCACAAAAACCTGTGCACAGTTACTGTTTCATACGGTGCTTAGCCTAATGTTCACACTTGGAAGTACACACGTTCCTAAGTAAAGCACTTTAAATGTATTTAGAGATACCTGAAAATCTGTTTCTAATTAAACACTTTGATCCTCGTGCATTCCAGTCAGTGACCACGGCTGCCATGAGGTAACATGTCACAGCTCTGATCTGCAGCTTTTGTTGCTCAGCAGTCGACAGCTGTGGCGGTTCTCAGGAGGACAGACAGAGAGTTAAATGACCACTCTTTCCCCTCACACATCTGGGAAATGTTCAGCATATGTGTTCTGATCAGTGAGCTGTTCTGTGAGGGAAGTTTTGAAAGGCAGCGTTTTGGCTGAACAGGAAAAAAACATTAAACCCACAGTAACAGATGAAGGCATCACAACTGTCTTAATTAGCCTGGAACCTCTCTATAAATCTTATCCATTAGATACTTTCTGTAAAAAATTCACCAATCACCTATCATCTACCTTAGCTACAAGGGTCAAGTAGCAATAACATAGATCTGTGATGAAAAACCTTTCCCTGCAAAACCAACACTGTCATAGCAGTGTCAGCTCTTAAAATGTGATATTTATCAGTGCATTAATCATGATATTCAAGAAGCCTATTAACTACACGAGGGGCACAAGAAAGGGACATTTGTTTTTGCTCAAATCAGAGTGAAATTAGTTTCCATTGAATGTTATTATTAGCAATGGAGATGTTTTTTTTAAAACTGTGTTGTCAAATTGATACAAACCAGGTCAAGCTTTAAGAACAGAAGCTGCTCATTCATCTACTACTTCACCAGCTGAAGGCATGCATAACCTACTATATATTTCTGAGACTATGGCTTCAAAGTGTGCATACAAAATGTATTTATGAATCTATGAATATCTGGCTGTGTTGATTTCAGCCCCATCTCTGAACATGTAACTAATATTTAACATAAGCCATGTTCAGAGATAGGGCTGAAATCAACACAGCCAGATATTCATAGATTCATAAATACATTTTGAAAGATAAAATCCATTACGCTGAAAAGCCATCTTCATGTTCTGCATATCCAATAATTAATCTGTGAAGTACTTCTTTACGTTCTTGAGTACAAATTGGTACAAATTGGTCGGAGGTTAATACTGGTGAAAAAACAAAAAAACTCATGCCCTTCAACAAATTCGGCAGCATTACTCCAGAAAATCCTGCTATAGACGGCTCTCAGTTGAGCACATCAACATCCTCTCTCTCTCTCTCTCTCTCTCTCTCTCTCTCTCTCTGTCTCTTAGAAGACAAGCACATACACATAACATATCTCGGTTGCAGCTCCAGTCCTGCAGACAGGGCAGAAAAGCAAATACCTTACACATCCTGATAAGAGCTGTCATAAAAAAGCTTTTCTCAGTGTTACCAGATACATCAAACTAGACTTAATAACACAAAGAGAGCGTCTGCAGAATACATTTCCACAGGTTTATCCCTTCAGTGGAGAAGCTTTCGCTGAAATCAATACACAGATAAAACAGATATGACAGCGATCAGCTTAAGCGGACGACTCCTTTACCTTGGCAGCGCTCTTCAGCTGATACATGGACGGGTCATCAGGTGGTTTGCCGGCGGCACATTTGGTGGCACCAATGAGTTCAGCGAGAGCTTTGGCAACGTCTCGTACGGCGTTTATCAGAACCACCTGAGGAGATAGAGCTGGAATCAATACGGCTCGATGGGCAGAGTATAGGCTTATCGGCTGTGCCTCAGAGGGAGGATTTCGCACTTATCACTCAAAGCTACTCATGATACTTCAGACTTAGCGGAGGTCAGAGACAGAGGCACACACCCTGAGGAAAGAAGAGTTATAAAGAGAGCCTAATATGGGATATACACTTTGACTTTGAATGAAAAAGAAGAGAGACTGGCGAAAAATATCTTTTGTTATGACAATCTCAAATATGTATATAGACTGGACATTCAAAAGAGTGCAGGTGATCTGGATTTCCTCTCACCTGTGTCTCTGGGTCTTCAGAGCCCATGCTCGTTGCTCCCAGTTTCACCACCTCCGTCAGCTGAGTGATCGTCTTGGATGACGAGTGGGCAGCCTGGGCCAGTTTTTCCTGGCTGGACGCCGCTCCCGCAACCAGCAGCTTGGTGTCCTCCACCAGTGCTTTGGCTGTCTTCAAGATGCTTTCCCTGAGGGACGGGACACATTGTGTGACAATCTGCGCCACTGTCACACTAAACAATATGGAGGGAAGCCGCGCTTGCCTCTGAACAAAGTGTTTGTTTAGTACAGACAATAGTCAGTTTATGTTTATTGTGTGAAACGCATGTGAGCATTTGCATTTATTGGAATAAGATCATTCTCCTGAGTGAGTCATTCAAAGCAAACATGAACTGTAAAACACGAACAACTGGAATCATACAAAACAATAAGCAAACTCAAAAAGTAGAGACATGAACTTTTGGTGCCAAAGCATTGCATCTATTGACATCTCAAAGTGGGGCCTATTTGTCAATCTTTATTTACCACCAATGACCCGATGGCTTTTCTGTTTGTGGTGAGGTCAATGCACCTGTGATCAGCAAACGACTCCTCGCTCTCAGGATTCAGTGTTCCAGCTGAGGCGAACATGATGGTGGTGTCCAGGTCAGCGATAATTCCAGAGACGGAGCTGGCAGCTGTGATACACGCCTGGGTGCCTTTGTTTCCTGCTTGCAGTGCTGACAGTACCAAGGACACCTGGAACATGTTAAACATGGCATTAGTACAATATAAAGCTCCTTGAATAATAATTCTTAAGAGAAAGGATATCAAATCTATCTACAGATTCTAATGATTAAACATAACAATTTGTCTTAATAAGTGTTAGAAGAGCCTTTTATTATCAGGCAATTTGGATTATTGATCCTTGCGGAAAATGATTAGAAGATTTTAAAGCCTAAATGAGCATACTGGAACAATGGGACCAAAGAGTGGCTGTACATATAAAACTCCCCTTTGAGACCTGTATTTATCCCACATAAACATCTAGAAAGCCTTGAAAAATACATTTACTTATCAAACCGCAAACTATCCCAGTCTTGAATCAATACGCCCACTCAGATTAGGGAGCAACTGCTAAGCTGTAAGCAGCTAGGGCCACAGCATGGGGACATGCTGTTAACTGCGAAGTGTGAAGGTAGTTACTACTTTTTAAGATAGTTTTGGAAGATAACCAGCAGCAAGGCCCTTAAACACAAAAATCTATATTGAAAACATTTGAGGGGGATGGGTAATTTGTCAAAGCTGGTGATCACAAAGGTTTATTTTACCCAGAATTGAAAGTTGAGGTATCACTTGGACTTGTCTTATTTCAGCAACAAGATGATCTTGACAGCTTCTTTGCTGCTCTTTCTCTGTTTCATTTCAAACAAAATGTTTCCGTTTTTCATCCGCTGTGCACATACACTAAAGGCATAGGTTCTATATCTCCACTCTGTGTTTTCTTTCAGCAAATGTGCTGCAGACAAAAACACTACGACTGTGGGCCGAAGATATTAAGTTATTTGAGCTGACAGCAGCACCTCCCATTAGTATCAATTAAATCAACATTTCCACACAAATGTATTAATAAAAACAGATGCCTCCGAGTTCTTATCTACATATCAAATGGTGAATTTTTGTTTCCTGCTTGAAAATAACACATTTCAGTGGGTGTTGACCAGGCTTGTGATTTTGACCATGTTGGAACATGAGTGACTCATTAGGAACGGGCTTCCTTGTAAATGCAGAGGAGAGTGGCAACACCACATGCACGATATCTTATTAGATGAGCCAATAGTGCAGTAAGGTCATATCTATACAAAAAACCCCTCAGCAAAAACAAAAAAATCTATGAATATGTATCTTGGCAAAAATTAACTCATTTAATTTTTTTGTTTATTCTATGCCGGAAGAAAATGTAAGATATTTCCCTGTTGTCAAACATAATATTTTTCCCCCACTGCTTCTTCTTAATTGAATTAATTCAGTTAATTTAGGGATGCTTCCAGCTTTAAAACTAAATATTTAAAATTACGGCAACAAAGGCACTTTTAAAAAAAGTCAACATAATTAAAAATGTCTCCATAAATTGAAGGTGCTCCAGCTGTTTCTGAGCATGTCGCTTACCTTTTCTGTGACAGCACGGGCACACTCAATGAGCTCCCTCTTGGAGAAGCTGTCAGTGGGACTGAGCTGCAGAGCACCAGCTTTTTGGACCAGATAAATACAGCCATGGCCCAGTTCTTGCACCCGTGTCCTTATCTGGAAAGCCACCTAAAAGGATAAAGGATCATTGCATCCATCTTCTTATTTTGAATCACATTTCAAAATCAGTCATTTCTCATCTGGAAAACCTCTGAGCAGTTGATGAAAAATAAAAATCCACCCAATTTCAAAAACACTCACAGAGCAAATGCTGGCACTCCACCTTTAATTTCTAGACCACAATTCACATGTGGGTGGTGTTTCATTACAAGCATTTCTATAGGCTTTTACAATTGTAGAGGCAAGGTGTCACTATGGTTACCAACAGGGCTTCAAGCAGCGTGTTGTACACAAGATATTGATAAGAACCGTGTGCGATGTTTGCATGCACTGTCGTCCTCTGGACAACACAGGAAAGCTTTATGTGAAGGGGGAGTGGAGGCTGTGGGAGAATGGATGCTGGAGGGCTGCAGTTCTGTTTGATCTAACATTGTTAGTGAGGCCTTGAGGGAAGGGTTTCATATCAAAGAACAGCAAACATCTGCTCTCATCGGTGTGTTAGCAGCTACATCCGGAAGCATTTGCAGACATGAGCGGATATTTGTGTCTTACATTTCAAAGGTAAAGTTGTGTTAAAGGCATATGACATGATAAATTCAAACCTTCCTCTCCTTCAAGGGGAATACAATTTCTGTAACATTGTGGACAAAACCGAGATAAGCTCACCTCTTCTGGCTCTGCAGTGGCTGCAGCAAGGTGTCCCTGGTGTGCAAGATGTCCATAGTCCACCGTCACCTGAGAGGCCAGCCCGCCAAGCTCTTCGGGGCAGGTTACTGACTTAGTCATCTGATTACAGAGAATGTATGTCATTCACAGAAGCATACTGGATGCATCTCTAGCTCCACTGTCACTTTCAGAAAAAAAATTAAAATTGATCACGGAACACAGCTCACCATCTCCTGAGCAGTGATGGCAATGGCCTTGGAGAATTTCACCATGGTGGTCTGATAGTCCACAAAAGAGCCCTCTGGTTCAGGAGGTGTTCCTTCATCCAGCTGGGAATATCAGCATTTTAGGAGAGTTCTTTGGAAAGACACTGAACGTAGACACGATCTGTTTTCTTTGTCTATGTGTGATAGTAGGGAAGAAACGCTGCTCTTATTGTAAAAAAAACAGTTAAAAATGTTTAGGGTAAGGGTTTTGTATTCCTTTTAAGAGGTATTGAACAGCATTTGTCTAGTTCTGTAAATTTCCCTGAAGATTTTTCTGATCACTGACAGGTTTTTCTACTCATTTTAAGTCCAGCCATTATTACTGACCATTTTTAACAGAGGAAATAGTTTATTTCTCAGCACCTTTACTATGACCAATGAATCATTCAAAAGTAAAATAGCCTCCAAACTGTAAGGATGAACTAGTGGAGTTGTGTCTACAACATAGTAAAAAGCCGGCTTTAAAGTGCAAATTGAGATGCTTTGCTACTGGCAATATTTTTTGAAAAAAAAAACTGGGAGACCGTTTGATAGAAATGGCTTGCTAGAAAGAATTAAATGGTCTGTGAGACGAATAACTATTTCAATCAACTACAGATTAATTAATGTTTTCCCTATTAAAGATCTCCAGATCTATCAGACTTTTGTATTTTCAAATGATGTGATTAATGGTATAGTCCAGAGATATCGAGATTTAAACATAATAAATTTCATTTCATTGGATGGATTTTCCTAAACAAACCAATGTATTTCTATCTTTACAGGGGAAGCAGTTGCAGAATAACTAGCCTCTTAAAACATACATTTTCCCCCTTAACAGAAAAAGTACATACGATGGACAACATGTCAGACAAGTGTATATGTTTAACAATAAATAACCTTTTGGTAACTACCATAAACAGTTGGATGTACATTTAAATCTTGTCATCTACTGGATAAGCTGTTACTGACAAGCACAGAGCCTTTTAAACCTCCAGAGAATTGTCCTCAAGAGTCAAAATGCACAGAATAAAACCCTTACTCACCCTGCCCATGGACTCAGCAATGGACTCCACCATGCCCCCAACCATGCCACCCTCACTTGCCGCCTCATTTAAAGTCACCATGATGTCGTCCACCGCCTCCTTCATCAGCTGGGCGGCCTCAGAGATAGCGTCATGTGTGTGCGACGCCTGAGGATAACAGGCACCTGATTAACATCTCCATAACGGTGTCTTGTGTAATCCAGATGGGACGGCAGTGCTTCGTTGTAGGGATTCACTACATTATTCTCACAAATCAATTAGAACACATGAAAATGAAGTCTTGAAAATAAAAAATAGTTGAACATTCAGCTGAATCGCTGAATGTTTTGTTGAGGAGCTGAGGCTGTCAGGAGGAGGATGACTCATCCCTGGGCCTCTCCAGTTCCAATGTTGAAAGGTCCTTGGGTTGGATACTCAATCCCACAATGCCACTGATGTGCTCATCATTGTGTGCTTGTGTGTAATAGAAAAAAAAGCTCTACTTTTGGAGCAGGAGGATATGAGAATGAATGAATGGGGCTTATCAAAAAGCCAATTACACAACAAAACTACAAAAAACAAAATCCACCACACAAAGAGCGTTTGTTATCATTTCAGTATTTTTTTTTTTTTAACCAAGTCAATACCTTTGGATTTCCTCCACCTTCCTTAGCAGCATAAAGCATCTGGAGGGCGGACTCGGATAGGGTCTTGGTCTGGTCCAGGATTGTCATCTGCTGTTGGTGGTCATGCAGCTTTGAGGCCAAGCCCACCGATGCCACAACCAGTGGATCAAAGTAGCTGGCCAGCTGGGTTACCTGGGAGGACATGTTTAATAGATCTAAGAAAATATTAAACCCCAACACAGGAAACAGACAGAGCTGGGGTTTCTCTCCAGATTCAGAGGGGACGAGGGGATGTGTGGTCAGACCAGCACCTTGTGTCCCAGTTGGGCAGCTTCACCACGGGCTGCCGTGGAAACAGGATCAATCAGATGACCAATCTCTTGCACAGAGGATGTCAGCTGCTCCTGGAGTGCCTGTCAAAATATAACAAAAGGAAATTAGAGTTAAGTCCAGATAAAAGCTGTTTTTAAAATCCAAACAACTTGATGATGGGATACTTACTTCCATAGAAATATCATCCCTGCTTGGCAGTGTTTGCCCAACTGCAGCCAAGGACGCTTGCTCAATGTCACGGATACATTTATTAATGCTGTCAATGGAGTAATCACACTCCCTCTGACCTGGTGCCTTGTCCCTGTCACCAGAAAAGAAAAACAAAATCTAAAATAACTAAAACATTGAAGTATAAAATTGCACCCTCATTTTAACCTAAAAAACAGCTTCTAAAAGACAGAACAAATTATCATTTTGGCTTACTGTCAAGAAGTAACGGTACAGTAGACAGAAAATGGACGAACGCAAAGACTGGAGACGGGGGAAGCAGCTCCCATGGCTCTAACCCAAGACAAAAAAAACCTACCGACCTTCTCGCGTCACAAAAGCTTACTCATTAACGTGTGTTTGTTTAAAGCGCCATCCAACTTTTCTTACCAGCCGCAGCGCCTTCCTGGAGTTTTTGTCATCACCACAAGGCTGCTAGGCAACCGGCGGGTTCTCATTCAGATACAGCTAATCGGCTGCTGACTTGAGAAATAGTTGGCATTAAAGAGATGCCACATTTGTCTTTAACTGTTCCCCTAAAGTTATTCTACAAATAATGAACCCTCCTTTAAAATGAAACATTTTATATTTTAGTTGTCGTGCACATGGTAGGGAGCACCATATGGTATTTCAGATCTGGTTTCATCATCATATCGCTGTTCTATTGCGTTGCCTGAATTATTAGAAAACAGTAGGTACCTCAGCAACCATGTACTCAAATAGCAATTTACCGCTAAGCTGAACATACATCTGATAACAAGCCAGCTAGCGCCAGGAGCATTTTTCCTCCAGCTGTGAGCACAACTTTATAAACTTGATTAAGAATAATCATGTAGAGATGGATGTGATTGTGAGAGGGATTCCTACTGACCTAATAGACGTGATTAGACTCTTGATGGAGTCAGAAACCGTCCGGGAGTGGCCGGCTAGAATGGACCAAGTGGGGGGATCTTTGGGGTTGAGCACCAGCGAACGGGCAGTTTCAATAAGGTAAGTGGAGCTGTCCAGCATGGAGCGAGCCGAACGCACAATAGGCTCCTGCGCTGCCGAGCCCTGTGGAGATAAAAAGATTAGTACAGGTGAAACAACAGCCCAAGTAGCCGCTGAGCAGCTAGGAGCTAACCATATTGGGTCAGACTGAGGTGTTAATATTCTTTGACTACCTTTGAGAGATCAAAGGCGCAATCAAGAGGGGGGGGGGATTAGAAAGGCAGCTTTACACAGACCGAGAAAGAAACACCTTAAGTCTTTATGATACCAGCCAAAACCTCTCTTGACAATTAGATTAACAAGCTGAAGATTAGAACAGCTGTGCTGAGAGAAAGTGCTGTTAAACACTGCCCCCCAACAGATTACAACCATAAAGCTTTCAGAGGACTGTGCAAGCACTTCGCTGCTTAGATTGAAAACTAAAAATCCATCTTGAACCCTGTGTTGGCATTAACATGAGGATTTCAAAAATAGATCTAAATCTGAGCGCCTTCAAAGTGTGTGTCAGTCACATATATGTTTCTGAAGAGACGTCGTTAACACTCCCGATGTTTCAGAGAACATGTGATCTCATTAAACATTTTCATCCGTTTCTACTTAGTTAATAGTTGGCAACTGAAAAAATGAAACATACAAAAGCAATATAATTAAGAACATGGCATGTATACAAAGACGTGCAAACTGGACCAATACCTCATTACTGATCTGGGCTGGGATGCTTGCAAACTCAGGATTGCTGGCAAAGGTCGACAGGTTTTCTACAGCCTCTAGAAGTGGAGTTGTAGCAACACGGCATCTGTTTCTGTTTTCCTCTGAAAAATCCCCATCCGAAGCCTGAAAGAGGACAGCATAACATGAATAAACCTATGTCCGGTTTGTTTTTACTCTTGAGAGGGACTGACTTATACATACTGTACACGTTTGCACCTTCTCACTGGCTGAAAGAAATTCTGTAACAAATTTACACTCAACGTTTTGATCAGTTGGGGAGTTGACCTTGATGGTTTTGACGAGGTTGGCTGTGGTGTTGGCCACCTCTTTGGCTGACTGGACAAACTGCCTCCTAGCCACAGGGTTAGAGGTTTTAGAAGAAGCTAGGCGGCAGGCGTTACAGAGAGCCGAGGTGTGCTTGGCTACAATTGTTGCTGCAGACAAGACCTTATGAGGGAAAACAAATGAAACAAGTTAAAATAGTTCAGACAAAAATAGAACCAATTCAACAGGTCAAAACTAGCAGGCGGACTGAATAATATATATGATAAGCAGTCAGAAAGTTAAAACTGTGGGTTCTGGCCATTTTTTCTTTGTCTGACTTTTTGAGGGAAAGTTGTAATTATCAACTACCACCATAATAATTGTCAGCACATGACACTATGAAAATATGCCCTCTAAAATTTGAAGGCTTTCTGTGCAATTTAAAGCAGTTAACTAAAACATGTCTCTGAGCCTCTGAAAAATACTGGACATATTGGAGAGGTAAAGCCTCTTTTCTTTAAGTGATGGACACACACCATCATCAAGTTTAGCAGTATAATTTTCACAGCATCTTCTCCTATACTGATGCATGGATAAATCAGGAAGCTGTAAAGTAACTGTTTCAAACTAGCAACTGCCTTGATAAATTACAGTGGCTTACTAACATCAGCTAACAACATTGTTTGGAACAAAGTATATATATTTTCTTAGCGTTTTGGAGTTTATGTGTTTCTTGTGGTGTTGACTTTTCAGATAAAAGGGAAGTGTTTTGCAAGGTTTTGTGTCAAGGTATGTGTCATCTTACCTGTGAAGGACTACTGGCTGGGTCAACCAGATTTTGACAAGCCATTTGTATAGCTTGGTGGGCCCTTGCAAACTGAATAGGATCCACCAGACCCTCATGACCAGACTGGCTATTCGGATCAGAAACACCAACAAGATATGTGGCCTGCAGGGTACAAAACAAAAACCCAAAGATCAAAACTGTTGTAACAGGTAAGCTCAAACATCAGCACTCCTCCACAAGCTCTATGACTTTACACTGCATACACAGTGCTTCTGAAGAGTGGATAAGAATTAGAGTGGATTTTTTCTCTCGAAAAGGCTTGCAGGGAGATAAGGATGTTAAATGTTTTATGGTGGAAGTCTGTAAAACCTCTCATCAAAACTGCTTTAACCTGTTTTCTTCACCAGAATCCAACGAAAGGCACCTTGGTACCCTCTAAATGCCATTTATGAGAAGCTTTAAAATGAATTGTGATATAATTAAATCAGACAATATCATCAGAAAGGTGAAAAAGAAAGCTGAGACAACAGCCGATGAGTGCATTATTAACACACTGTTATCTCACCTGTCCTGCAGCCTCTGTCAGCCCACACAAAGCTTTGGATGCCAAACTAACACTCTCCCCAAAGGCTAGCACGTCACCCGTCTTACAGTGCTGAGAAATGCCTGCCATCGACTCTCCCAGGACCTGAGGTGCATTGGTATAGAGATGGAAATGGATACATTTGTATGAATTAGACCCTAAGCTTCCGCCCAAGCAAAATACTTTTGACAGTTTAAAGTATGCAGAAGACAGACTGCACCTTAGAGTTCTCCATGACGCTCTCGATGCAGTCAAAGTATGAAAGTTCATTCACAGGCTCACTGGGGTTTTCTAGGAGACCTCTGACAGCCTGCACACAGATGGTGTTTACTTAAACTACTGTGGATACACCAAAAAACTAAATGCATATTTTATCCACACGATTTAAATCTTAAAAAGAGGAAATTAGCTCTTTGTAATGTGAAAATGAAATTGAATGTAGTGGCGGTCAAGATCGTTGCTCCATTTATAAAGTGTAATTTTTGTAAAAAGTCAAAAGAAATGTGGGCCTCAGAACACAAAATGTACCAGGTTGATTATTTTTTATAATTTGGTTTCTATTAATGTCCATCCAGTAGGAAAAGCTCTATGAGAAAAATAGAACTGCGCACAAATATACCTGAAAGAATTCAGAATTCCATCTGTGTGTGGTGAAGTGAATGTAAGGACAACTACCTCCAATTCCCTTAAGGCGTTGTCACACTCCTTTTGTCCCGCTGCTTGCTGGGTACAAAGCGTTATCAGCTGGTTAATGCTCTCTGTCACCGCCCTGAAACACAGAGGCAGCCACACAAGCCTCTTTAGCTCTCACGTGTGACCTCTGCTTGCAGATGCAGGCTGGTTTCACTCACACATGCTTTTATCCGCCCTGCTCAAGCATGGCAACGTTGGCTTCTTGTAGTGATTGAATAACAGTGCTCAGGAGTGTCAAGATAATCTTGAGTTTGCGTTCAGCCTTGCTGAGCACAGACAAGCTAAAGCCAAGGCTTCCATCTTTCTAATTAGACAGAGAGAAGTCAGTCAGGCCTAAAGCCCTGCGGGACAAGCTGCTTGGCTTCCTTCCACTAAAGGGAGGATATGCACTCCCTTTAGCAATGCCAAACAGGTATACTGTCGGGATGGCATACAGATGCAGCAGGGAAACATTGTCTGTATCTGCAGTGCATCTTGCTAAATGGGGCCTGGATTCATTCTATTGCAAAACAGCTCAGTTGACAAGCAAATAATGTATATTATCCATTAGGAACAATACACTTTGGCCTCAGTGTGTATTGTATCGCACCTTGCTGCCACAGCTAGAAGATTCTTTGCATTGGCTGCACCTGGATCCACAGACAGGGACTTAGCAGCCAGGAGGAGTTTACTGGATGCCATGGAGATGTTCTTCAGATTACCGATGACTTGGATCTGGTCTTCCTTGCACTAAATAATTACAATTACAATCACATTACATCATCACATTACAACCATCATGGTTCAAAAGCTGGATTTGCCACCACAAATACCACATAGTATCCTCTCGTCTTTCTCACTGGGGCTCTCTGAGTCTGATTAAAGCTTTGGTGTCATGCTACGTCAACTTCGATCCCTGACCATCTTTCCAAATTAATGAACAAAATAACCCGAACGTGAACATCACAAGATCTCATTACTTCTGACAGTGTCAGAGCTCTAAGGGACAATTCATGTGCCTAAGTGAATGAGATGAAAAGGTCCAATTAACAAATTACTTAAATAGCTTAGTTCGTAAATGACACAAAGACGCACTCTGCATTAATGGCCTTCGGTGCACCGGAGGCTTCAGTGGTTTACTATCTGAGCGGAATGTGCAGGGGTTGGGATATGATCATGAATCCTACTTGGGTGTGTCCTGCCATCTCAATGCCAGCATCCAGGAACTCATCAAAGTCTTGGCTGAACTTCCCAGAGGCTGCAGCCAGCTGGCCGCTTGTTCCACGAGAGGAGTGGACGACCTCGCCTGCTGAGTGGTTGAGTTCAGCTGCTGTGTGGTTCAGATCAGTTTGGGCCTCCTGGAATGTCTTACTGCAGGGAGGGAGCTTCAAAAACAGGACACACAGTTAGGTCATACTGTTTAAAATAAGTATTCCAATGGAAAAAAATGGTTAGTGAGGAACTAATATTCGAATGTACTTGTACAGCTTTGGTGTTTAAAGTAACTTTCCTTAAGAAAATGCTTGATGGACTCACGTAGTCAACAAGCAGCTTCTTGCTGGCCTCCCCGATGCTCCTGAGGGCCATATCAACATCCTTCTGGCCTGGCAGGCAATTCACACAATTATTCAGGGAGTGTGACACGGCTTTGGCTACCTGAAACACAACACAGCATCTGTCAATGCGCTTCTATTACAGACTCTAACAATGTAAAACACCACAAAGCCCAGGAGCAGAGCTATGTTTGGAAAAAGAAAATCTGAAATGCAAATTCGGCTCACAGTTCTGTCACTAATTTCTGCTGCTGTCAGAGATATATGCCAAACAATATGTTCATCTCCTGAAAGGCCACAGAAGAATGAACAATTTTACCCCAGAGGAATATTAGGCGACAAAGTCTCAGCAGAGAGAAAATAGCAATGCTTAGACAAGATAATTGTTTTCAAAAAAAGAAAATCAGTAAAGGCTGGAGAAAGAGCCCTAAATAGAACAATGCGATGACTGAGGAATAACATTGCTTCTCTGTTTACACACTGCAGGGACCTACGCTACCTGTGCCAGTCTCTGCTGACTCTCAGCATCTCCTGGATGAACCAGAGCCTGATGGGCCTCGTGGATCAGCATGGCTGAGCCTTCCATAACGCACTGGGCTGAGTCCAGCATTGCAGCTGCCGCTTGAGGCTCTTTGGTACTAGCTGCCACACCACGGGCAGCTTGGGCCAATGTCCTTAAAGCCTGTGCTGTCTCTCTGGCGGCAATACCTGCAAAAAACCAGCCACACTTTGAAATTGCATAAAAAACATTTAATCAAAAAGAGGAAAAAAAAATCTAATTAGAATTAGGACATACACAAGTGAGGATACGGTCTGTCTTCTTCATGTATCCAACACACCATAATTGTTGTTATAATTATATGGCTGTATGTATATACATGCGTGTGTGTGTGAGTGTATAAAAATTGCACATATGTCGTAAAATGACTAATTTTGCCCCATATGACAGGTGCCATTAAATATTTACACAAAAAAGTGTTTTACAGAATTGCATCAAATTACATTCATCCGCATAGTGGAGTCACGTATTTATGAAATATTGAATCCAGTGAAAAAAATAATGAGAAACAAGCTGCAACCAGGGTGACAGCATGAAGTATTGCCTGGAAGTGTTCATTGTTGGAGACCCTACTCTCTTCCCGTCTTTATTTTCACTCCTCTGAGATTTTTATTTCAGTATAAATTGACAGAAAAAACAGAGAATGCATGCTGAATTCCGAGGATTCAGAGTAAAGCAATAGCACAAGTGAAAAGTGCAAGTAACAGTCTTACATCTTAGTTTCTATTTTTAACATTTACCCATTTCAATAATGTAACGCATATTGTAAAGAAACTGATGTATTATTCAACTTAATGGCTGTTTTAGCCTGTCCGACCAGTGTGGAACACACTACCTGTATAATGTTCATTTCCCTGGGCAGCACATGTCAACAATTGGGCCATGGAGGAGCCGACAGCTTTGGAGGTACTGCCCAAATCCTGTGCACATTTTTCTAGCTGTATAATGAACAAAACAGGAAAAAAAACGTATTAGTTTGATGTCGGTTCAAAACATATGAATAGAACTGATTAAAACTAAAGAGAAAAAAACATGATGATTGGCAACATCTTCATGTATGCAAAAAAGTATCTCCAAATGATGAAATTGAGCCATGAGGACTAAATGGTCCTCCTAAAGCAAGCGAAACCAATAATAAAAATAGGTGAATGTTTTTTAGAAATATATCACATTAAGTGTCTTTGACAGTCAGAACATTGTAAAATTCTCAGACCAACAAACATCACAAAGAGCAAGGTCTGTGATAGTTCATCAGGTCTTCTGAATCCTGAAAATAGTGTACATAACATGACTGTCGCTGCACTCTGAAAACACTAAAAAAAATCATATGGAAAAACAAGAAGGCTGTTAGTTGAATGTGTTTATGGATAGATACAAAATCCTAGTATAATCTGTGTTGTTTTCTACTGACCGTTTCTCCTGGAAGAGGTTTAAGTTGGCCATCAATCACTGACATTTTTGCATCTTGTAGCTCACTCTTGAGCGTCTGCACAGTCTTGAGTGCTGAGTCGATCTCCAGAGGACCACATGCCTCATGGGCCTTCAAATGATATCCAGACATTAAAGCAAGTCAGTCTCACTTACGCATACAGGATACAACGCCATGTGCGTCTCGTATATCTAAGTATGATCAAAGAACTGGATTGAACTGTGTGAGCTGCAAGTTTCTTGAATAAATGGGACGAATCCTGTCATCTCTGACAGTGTTGTGTGGCGGTACAAAAATGTCTTACCTTTTGGGTGGCAGTTCTGAGCTCCGCCAGGCAGGTTGCTAAATTCTTGGCACACTGGCCCAGTTGCATAGCAGCAGCCTGGTCGGCCACAGTGGGAACTGCTGACTTTGCTGACGTCACCATCTTACTTCCAGGCTAGGAGATAGGCAAGAAAATAATAAGTCATTTTTTAAAAAAAAGCAATGTTTTGTGTGTACCACAGGCAGGGTCGGATGGTCGCTGACATTTAAAGGTGACACACTAACCTGTAAGAAGCTCTGGCTGGCCATGATGAGGGCAAGCTGAGGGCCAAGCTCCTCGGGCTGAGCCTGACTGCTTCTCATCCCTTGCACCAATTGGGGGATGCTATCTGCAACAGCCTGAAATGAAACGCATGCATTAAGGATTCATGATAAACCAGACCATGATAAAGGAAAGACGAGAACACACGAAAACCTCGTGTCATACCTTGCAGCTGTGTACTAACTGCTGGTGTGAGGCCGTGTTTTTGTTGGAAGCAGCTGCATTCTGTGCAGCTGCAATGGTCTGAGTCGCGGCGGCCGCCGCCTGTTTGGCAGCTAACTGTTCGGAAGACAGAAATATAGACAATCCGGTCACAGGCAAGAACAAAGTGTTGGCAGAGTGGGACATTTGTGTTTCCTATCTGCAGTTTTAGAAGGTTTTAATCATCCTGAAAGCCAAAACATTATCTTGGAGGAGAGAACAGGGATGGGATTGCATTGCTCAATCTCAATAATTATGTGTTACTTCCCCCTTGCTATGTTAAAAAAAAAACAACAATTGCTAAAAATATACAGCTTGGATCACTTTGATTAAGAGACGTGACTAACTTTGAAGGGAAACACGTGGAATCACATCAGTGGCTTGAGCCTTTCAGGTAGATTTTGCTAGTAACATTGAATTAAAAATGGGCTGCAAAATTGTCAGTTTTCTGTTTGATATTCTACACAGAATACTGAATACATCTAACTGCAATAACATGCATAACTGCACAACCGAAAGAAGGGATTTTGTCTGGACAATACAAAAATTAAGGGGTTTTAAGAAGCCTGAATGTTTCAGAGATAATTGTTACAAGAACACTTGGAGATTAATAACACTTCTTCCCTGGCTCCCATGCCGCCTTGATGGAGGTGACCATTAGCACCATCACTGTGACCATCTGATGCAGGGAGGCGGACTGAGATGCATGTCTGATAGCAGGCTGATTCCAGCCCTGGGTAATGAATAGTTTTTGTGCCTGGAAAATTGGACATTGCCTGCTTTAGAGCAGAGACGTAGAAGTCATTAGGGGCAAACTGATACTAGGGGGCCAAACACAGATCTTTAAACTCAGATAGTTCATTCACAGCACCGACTTACAGCGATTTATGGCTCACTGCTATAGGAGAGACAAATGATACAGAAAATCTGGTAAAAATCTGTCCTATATGTACAAACAATGGCTCTGGAACTTTATCATTTCTAATCTTCTCCAGCTTTTTCACATTTTTTATCAAGGGGTAGGAAAGTCGATGTGAGGCAAGAAGTGTTACGTATCAACAAAGGTCAAACAGCACTGAAATGAATTCACATTGTCTCCTCGGACTCACCTCCAGCCTGTTGACAAGTTTTTTCTTTATTGCATTTTGTGCTGCTGCATTCGTGGCAACACGCAACCCCTCAGCCGCCTCCCTGAGCCTCTGCTGCTGGTCCTCATTCTCTGGGTAGGCGGCTGCCCCCTGATGGCACGAAAGCACACATTTACGTGCAAATGCGTGCATACAGAGACAAAGCGCTTTTACAAAAAACTGTGTATATAGACTCTAACAAAAGGTATGAGATCCAACAGCTTTGGTTTTTGTTGCAGATGTTGCATGATAGATGCAAAGATATCTAGTGGAGCTCTGACAGTTTCCAAGGAAACCATCAGTGCCACATCTTTACTTCCTCTTTGCTAATGGCATTGATGTGTTAATTAATTTGTAACAGATCAAAAATATCTTAACAAGCTATATGCTGTTTCACTTGCATGGTATTTCAGACTGAAAAAACAAATTAACAGCCCCTGATGCTTCACCCTACGAACTTTAGCTAATGCATATTGTAATGCAGATACTTGGTTTGGGTAAAAGTACAACGGACTTCTGTCATGCTGAAATCCTTAAACAAAATATTTAATTTGACTTCACACATACAACCTTGGTAATATTACCATTAATCTGCAAATTTATATAAATCTGTAACAACTTGATGGGATACATTAAATGTCTATCAACATCTGATCGATACACGTTTTATATAAATTCAGTATTTACAGATGCTATTAGTTCATGCTGGTACATTTAGGGACAGAGTCATTTGAAACAAATAGCTCTCTGACCTTAGCAGCCTCCACCATCCGGGCAGTTGCATCAGCCAGAAGTTTGGCTGCAGCCAGCAGCTTCTTTGAGTTATCAACATCAACTTCTGCCTCTGCATCGGACCTCATGGCGTTTACCAGGTCAGAGGTGGCCTGGGCCAACACCCTGGCCTGTCGCACCATCTCACCTGTTTAGGAAAACAATGCGTTAGATGATAAATGCATTTGAATCAGAGGATCATGGACAAATATAGCAACACTAGGACGGTCCTTCCAATAGCTGAACATTAGCTTGTGAAACCAAACTTTATTTATTCATTTTTTGTGGCTTTTTCTTTATTTACTTTTTTGTTTTTCCCTCAACAGTACTGACTTCCTAAAGCATGTCAGAGTCATCTTGCTGTGTTTTAGAAATGAAATCAAAGGCATTTCCAAGAAAACTCAAAAAAGACAAACAGCAGCACGGCTCTGACTCATTACAGTGATGGATGGTGTGACTGCACAATGACATTTTAACTTCCATTCATATTCTCAACATTCACTTCATACACATACACACATATAACTCACATTAACTGTCACGATTTCCAAAGGAAAATCAACTGAAAATGACAGTCAACATTCATTGAGTCAGTTTTTTCCCCCATTATCTATTTATATTTATATATATACATGCATACATATACATATATGTATGTATGTATGTATGTATAATACAATATGCTCATCACAGAACAAGGGTCCAGTTTTGCTATGGATCCCAGTTTATCAAAGAAAAATGTTTGTCCTTAAAAAAAAAGCCAACCTCATGTGTTTCTGGTTAACTTTCAAAGGCTCCCTGATGCTGATTGAGACCAGACTGAGATCTCTGTAGTGGTTTTGGATGACATATCTCTGACAATCTCTTGAGAATTCACTCGCTTTGAAAACATTTCAGCCTCATGGCTCAAACCATAACAAATAACCTGAGCTTTGAACATGCAGTGAAGATTTCTAAGCTAATTTATCTTAGAGACAAATGTAGACAACATCTTAGGCTCCTCTGATGAAGTCAAAACATTCTAGAACAGGTTAAGTGGAAGCAGGTAATCAGAAAAGAACAACGTATTGCTTTCAGTGACGCTGTTATTACTCACCAGCATCACCCATAGAAGTGAAAATGTTTTCCGTCACATTCATAATGGTGTCTGTAGCCTGGTCGTAGCGTCCGATGGGCTCTCCGCAGCTGGCGTAATGGCGGACATGTTGCAGTAGGTCACTGAGAGCCTGGCTCACCACGCCAGCTGCTGCACTGACTTGTTTCAGCAGCTCGCCGTCATCATTGGCTGAGCGGCAAGCTTTCACACAGGTCTCAACAGACCGGTCCACCAGTTTACCGGCTTCGACAAGCTGCTCCTGACACACCGGGGAGCTGATGGTTGGGCTTACCACCTGGTTCAAACACGGTGGCCGATCAAAAACCGAAGACTGTGCTATATTTGCAAAGATTCCTGTACCCTTTTCCTTAGCTAACTTAAAACACTGTTTATAACACAAGTTTATTATCATAGATTTCCAAAAAATAAACTATTGAGCGATGCCACAGAAATATTTTTCACTGCACAACTATTTCTGGGGATGGGCACATTTCAGATCAGTACCTTGGTGCAGGCCACCAGCTGTGAGGTTGACAGGGCACACTGAGTGGCAGCTGCAATCACTCGGTTCTGGAGCATGGTGTCCTCGGCCACCTGGGCCACGTTCTTGGCCTTCAGGACCAACATAGCAGCTGCATTGGCCACTGCTTTGGCCAGATTCATCAGGGTGTCCTGCAAAATATTAATCAGTGTCCTTCACTGAAACACAGCACAGCTGTGTGCATGTGACTGCAGGGAACAGGAAGGTAAATGTTTTTAGTTCATTTTGTTCTGCTCGAGTCGTGTGATTTCAAAGCAAAAAGACTCTGAACAGAAAACAGGAACATTCACAGGAATTCTGTATGAATTGTAGAACGAGAATGCTAAATCACATCTGCATTAATTGTATTGAACTGTACAGAAAATGTATTGCAAACTGTCCTAATGTACTGGAAGAATACTGGCTCAATACAGTGAGACCAAGAATGTGGATGATTCACGAGCCCCTTTTCCGGCCATTAACACTGAAAGGAACTGCATGAAAGATATGAGATGGCAAATAAACTGAGGTGACTGTGGCGTAAAAATTAAGTTCAGAATAAGAGAGTGAAAAAAATGTCAGATAAGACTGTATCAGTCGAGGTCTGGGACATTATATTGTCAACATACCACGAAAACCTCTTTATCTGATGCATTGTTACATAAATGTCCTTAAAGAGACAAGCTAATAATAAAGTCTGAGGTAATCACATAAGTGTTTCTTAACATTTTTCTAAAGGGGCCTTGGAGTATGTGTGCATCTGTCTTCCTGTTCTGGCCGGCAAACGTAGCAGAAACAGTGAGTGGGTGGTGTCCAACCTGGAACTTCTCATCAGTCTCGCCCTCCCCCATGTGACGGAGCAGGTCCCCGCTGGCCTGTCCGATGCTTCCTGCTGCAGTCAGCACTGTCTGTCTGGGCTGCACGAGGATGACATCAGCACATTCATTACACAAGCCCCGCTCGCTCTCACAGGGCCCAGAAAATTGATCTAAAACAGACTGAGCGGATTAAAAAAACCTCCCTAAAAAAGCTCCTGACACATCTTCACTTGGACGCTAATAAAAGAGGCGTGCGGCTCGACCGTACGCGCGTTTGTGAGCGCTGAGGATCCAAATCACCAGCGTAATTAGTAGGTGCCTCACCTCAGCGGCCGCCGGCTCAACAGATCTGAGGAGATCCGACACTGCTCCCGCCAGCATCCTGGCAGCACCCATGAGCTTGTGTCCACTCCCCACCTCGTCATCCATTAAGGCTGCGAGCAGCTTGACCCCCCGGGACATTTCGGTGAGGTTGGAGGATATGGTGGTGATGGCGCATCCCACCGCTGTGTAGTCCGTCTCCGTAGGCTCGCCTGCAGAGGAAAGAAAGACATCGCAGTGAACCAGACTCTCTTCTGTGCATCTTGATTTTCTTCAGGAGCTGCTGATGCATTGATTTAGCGACGCCACGGGGCGACCTGTGCGTCGTATGCTGTAACAAACACATCAGCATCACGGTTAGAGCCCATCTAAAACGGCTTCACGGAGACGAGCACGTTGATGGAGCAAGTGGGTGTGAAGAAGAAAAAACTTGACTTGGATAATGGAGAGAGCGTAAATGAAACCAAACAGACGGAAAGGTTTTATGAAAACTAACCTGTGCCAGACAACATGGGGAGAAGTGAAAGCCGAGTTTCAGAACAGTGATTTCGAGATTTATTCATGAGTCGAAATATTTATCGAGAAAACCACAACATCAACCAGGGACTGATTAAGACTGGCTTGGGAAAAAAATTGATGGAATCATACGCTGAAATACAATAGAGAATGTTTAAACAGTTTTCACTGAAAATGTGCCCAGTGTAAACCTCACCAATCAGTGAAAAAGCAGGTGTGCCAGCTATAAGTTGTTCAGTACTTTCTTGGGAACTCACCTGCTGTGAGATTGACCACTGATGCAGTTCCAGCTGTGATGGCATCAACCTGGGAGTGGATTTCATGTTTGGATTCATCCACCTTGTTCTGAACCCAAACCCTGGATGCCTTTTGGAGGAAGGAAACGAGAGCCATTGGTTTTCATCACTGTGGGAGATTTGGAGCTGAAATCGCATCAGCTTTCTTGCACTCAATTAAAAGTCTGGCCTATACAACAAAAATGGCTTTGGAAAGACAGCTTTACTGTCAGCTCCACAACATAATTATACAAAAAAAAATACAATCAACTTTGCTGTGATTAGAAGTCTTGTATGCTTAAAATGCAAATCTCAATATAAGAAAGCATAAAAAACTCTGAGTATAAAATCCAAGAGGTTGTTGTGATTGTGGTGAATGTGATGGGCCGTGTAATCTATATGTCGGAAACCGCCCTTATAAATGCTGCAAAAACTCTTGTTAAATTATAGGATAACTTACTAAGTCATGGCCCAATGGAGGCAGATTATCTACATGTCCCAGGTCCGCCTGGGCCTGCTGCACTGCCTGCATGCTGCTGTTGATGGTTCCCATCAAGGCCTGCTGTGCGAGACTCTGGCAAAAGCAGACAGAGACACTCCGTTTACACATGGCTAAACAAAAGCAATCTGAAGACACAGTTGTCGGCCTTGGTCTTGAAATTAAACATCTATAGGCCACATGGGGCAAATGGCTTGTTTACGTGAGCATGAGGAATCTTTCATCACATCTCAACCGTATTCAGATTGTTCAGTGGAGCCGATCCATCGACAAGTGAGAACAAATACTTCAAAACCAGCGAATCAGATCACCCATCAACCATCAGACAATAATGCACATGATAAGTAGACAGGGTTTTGATACATTAAACTCAAACCACTGAGAGCAGAGGTGGTGCTGCAGCGTTTTTTAATGCGTTCGCATTCACGGGTCTTCTCATTTTAAGCGTCAAAGCTCTCACTCACCAGTGGAGGCATGTGTCCTCTGTGCATCTGCCCCGTGGTGATTTGTTGCTGGGCAGAGGGCATCATGCCCACATTGAAGGTATCAGGACCGCCAATGGAGCCAGACCGTATAATGCCTGGAAGGGCCACTGATCCATGTTCCACACGGCCCACCCGATTGAACTGCTGCTGCAAAATTGTGGATCTTGTACAGAGGAGAAAGAAAAAGGAATGAGTGAGTTCTAAATCAGGCCCACTCTGATCCTGAAATAGCTTTACAGTGCATGTGCACTCCATTCCACATACTGTATGTCTATTGTCTTTGTGGAAAACTAAGGATTTAATTTAAATGCAAACTAAATGATTTATTTACTCAGGGCTGACTGTGCCATGATGAAAGACACTTTTCATCTAATTTTCTGTCACATTCATCCTAATTTAGGGTAATGATCTATATCATGACAAATTAGAAAATGACATATGGATGTTTGTCGACTTTAATTTTCTAGGCAAATCTTGTTTTATGATAATTATATCAGGTAATAACTATTACTAATTAAGATAGGAAAAAAATATAAAATCATTATTAAAATCATAATCATGCAAGAAAAACTGTTTGCACTGTGAGCATGTATTGTAAAGAGAAAACACTGTAAAGGGAAATGTGTTTTCTTGCCCAAATCAGCAGATGCTCCTGATTCCACTGATTAATGATGGCTTGTTTTGAGAGGTAGCAATTATGTTTGGTTTTTTTTGCAATGACAACCACAACATGAGTCAACTGGTCCAGAAGCAGCAGGCATTTTATTCTCCGCTCTGTCAGATTGTTATTTTGCCGAGAGCCATGTGAAAATGAGTGATAACTCATTTAAAAACTGCTGGTTTATTTTTGACATTTCCTTCAAACACCTGTTTTTGTTTGATAACAACATAGCTGGTTCCACACAAGCTTTAGTTTTGCCTCCTCATCTTCTCTCTCCTCCATCCTCATGCCTGTTAACCTAAAATCAACAATAGCAAATTTCTAGAAGGAAGTTTTCGTTTTCTTTTTTTTTCTGAATAAGAGAGGAGCGAGATGGAGCGATGAGTGAAGGTGCATTGCCGACAGGGATCTGATGTCGTACATTTGACTGATGTACCGAAGTTCAACTACTTCACTTTGCTAAATGTTTTTTTCTTCATGTCAGGTAGGTGAGTCTATGAAACGAAGATTGTACAAACACAAGAGATGAGAGGGGCGTGGGAGGTTGTCTTTGCCTTTAATGTTGTGATGATTCCCAGTTGAATACCCTTTTTGTGACTAAAAAATATTTTTGCAAAGGCCTTAGAGGTTTGCTGGCGGGAGCAGCTCCATTAATGTTAAAGCCCTAATTCCTGAACTTGGCTCATTAAATAAACTACACTGTAACTTCAAGCGCGAAGCAATCAAACTGCTGAAATACTGCAACATTTAATCTTCCAAATGATAGAGCTTTTGCTTTAAAAATAACAGGATAATTTACTGGCTTTTAACAAAAAATATACCAGGAAGCACTTAACCAAATTGTGCTGTATTTTAATATAATCTCAAGATATGGATTTGTATTCAATTCTAACATTAAAGAACAGTCATGCTGGGCAGGCATAGATGCAATTTCGCAGTCAATTAAACAGTAAGGTTCAAATGCATGAAAAACAACCAGAATGTGTTTAGTGAATCAGGGTAGAAAGCAGAGCTCTGCTCCAGATAATTCCGACACCACTCACTTCTTTGGAGAAACTGATTCCTCCAGCATGGTGGATTCTTCGTCTCCCTCAAGGCCAAAACGATCTTTACTCTGCTTCTGCAGGGCGTTCAGACATCACAGAGAGTGTTTGTGGCTATTTGTAGGGAGAACCGGTTGTATATTGTATTTTTCAAGGATAGTTTGTGTTTCCTTTTTGATCACTTACCTTTTTAAGAATAATGTCAATATATCCTGCGATAAGTTGTGATATCTGCTCTCCCTCTGTGGTCTGGACAGAGTAGTAACTTTCCTGGTACTCGCCAAAATCCTTGCATTGCAATAAAAACAGCGGAATATCAGCCACAGTACGTTATACACTGTCATCTGTGTATAAGACATAATTCAAGTCATTTTTCAATTAAAGTCCTTGCAAACCGCGCTCAGACAAAAATAAATAAATAAATTGGTTGGAAAAAAGCCTAAGTGAGGCGAAGGGTCTAAATAAACTTGGCAGGCCTTTAATCATTTCAGCTCTTTCTAAATAAAAAAAAGTGACGGGCCTCATCAGAGCATACTGTTTTCCAAAGAGCTGATTACGAAGGAAATGTAGTCAGTTTGAGAGTTGCTCGCTTCAAAGTATTCCAAGGAAACACACGGGTGAATAGTTTTAGTTGAAATCAATACAGGAAAAAATATCTCTGAGTGTTTTTAATTATTTGCATGATCTGTTAATCTTTAAGTTGATTAACTCTTTCAAGTGCTAAAAGATGCTTAACAGATTAAGAAGAAAATTCATATATCTAAATTCAGCTAATTCTTCCCCTGGATTCTGTAGTTAATTTGGGTAAACTAGCCTGCAAACATGCTGAAAAAACTCAATATTGCAGTGTGAGATATTGTGTATATGAATCCATGCATAAGATTAGAAATAATCTTAAAGCAATAACGGGCACTAGAAGCAAAAAGTCACACAGTACCAGAGTGAAGCTCTTGGGGGAGGCTGCCCATCTCTTGACTGTTGTCAGGGGCCATTCCTGCACCACATCCTTTGTCTTTTCATCAACTCTCATCACAGACTCCTTGGTTATCCCCAGCAGCCTTGGAACTAGCTTGTTTTTACCCTTCATCTTCTCCTGTCAGACAGAACATCAGACCACGTTTAAGTAGATGCTAAACACACACACAGATAATTCAGACAAGACATACATGCAAAATCCCTATGCCATTCAGGTGGGGCCATCCCATAGTGACACACACTATGTCCGAGACTTGTAGCCCAAAATGGAAGGGGTGAAGGGCCTCTATGAAGTGACCCAGCAGAGTTGGGGCTTGTTTAACTGCTGCTTTATTGAGCGTGATCTCCACAGGCTTGGGTTGCTGTCAGCACAGCAGCATGACGCTTCCACTAGCGCTGCCTACCCAGCTCAGCTGGCCCCGAAAATCTCTTACAGATAAGTTCTGACTACATGCCTAAGCTTGGCTCCCATCCAGGGGTGGAGAGTACAAACCAAAAAAAAAATTAACTGTGTGTACAGATGGGAGGATCAAAATACAAACTTTCAATATCTGAGCCTTTCCTTTTGTTATCCAGGGTCAAAGTGAAGATGTCAGTGTATAAAAAACCCAAAAGACCAGCTTCTACTCTATGTGCCCTCACACTCAAGGACAGATAACATTATTACCGTGTTCACAACATCTTTGTGCAGAGGTTTATTAAAAACTTTCATTGTTTGAGGTTACATTATTTAAACGTCATCATTTCCAAGGCTGAATTATAGCAGGAAGGGCGGCTCCTGAAATCTCAAGTGGAGATCTAAGGTATTCCTTCATATTGTTCACTAGGATTTTTCAAGGAAAAACGTGTTTGTTTAAGACAATGCACAATTTTTTTTTAATCAAGTGCACCCCTGCAGGAATAGTTGAAACAAACTTCTATACCACCTCAGAGTACAGTTATACTTAAATCCATCACATGGATGTCTATGACAAGCAGAACTTTCCATTCCAGAACCTGTGCTGATTAAACAGCAACAGATGAGAAATGGAAGGTTACATGAATGCTCCAACAATGCCAGGTCTGCGCTTTTGCCTTTGAAAGCTTCAAGAGCAGAGAGCAGCTGGGGTGAATTATTTAGTGGAGTCTTGACATCTCCTGCATCTCCTCTTTGAACGTAGACAGTGCCCTCACTCACAGCTTTCAGTAACTGCACACAAAGATCATTTGGATCCTTGTTGGTGTGTTTTATCGATACAGCCAAACATTCCATTTATCGTCAGTTAAGAGGCCAGCAGACAACTGCACTCTACCTATTTTCCCCTCCTTTTCCAGACTGTTTGTGGCCAAGTGGGCTACCGTCAAGCTTTTATGATGCTCACTGGTGCAACTTCATTCCGTTCTCGTCATGCACTTCCAACTCACTCATGTGTTTGCCAAACCAGAACAGAACAGAATTGCAATTGTCACAAGTATTAAGCAGCACAGAGTGGACTGCTGAGTGAGAAGTGTACAAGCGTTCCCTCTGAAGCTGCATATCTGATGTGATAATGGGGTTTTTGATGCTTTCATTCCTGTTTGACATCATAGCACACAAAATGTGCCACAGCATGGCACCGCATATCAGTATGTGTAACTAAACTGCTAAATTGATAAGGGTTACAAAACACTCCATCAAAATCCCCATGGTGTGTTCATGTCCTTTGCCCCCTTTTCAGCAGATACATTTAATCATAAAGCAAGATACTCCACATGTTGGAGCACTAGAACAACTCAATTAAAACAGCTCAGCATTGTACAGCACTTACCTTAACTAAGAAGAAAGACACTCCATAGGTTTGCAGGGACCTGGCCAGCTTCACATACTTCACTTTTCCCTCAATCTCTGTCATCTCGCCACAATTCTTATGGTCCTAAATAACAACAGTTATATTTCCATATCAACATGATCATCACAAACATCCAACCTCTTGAAATGTGACATTTCAGCAATAAAACATACATACTTGGAATATTTTCTTTTCAGATCCTCTCTGCTTGATATATTCTTTGGGCAGGAACTCCTTCAAGCTACAGAGATAAATTATATTTTTACATGGTTATTCACTTGAGTTATGGGCATTTCATTTTATATTAACATACCTCTACATATGAGGTCATTCTTGCCTCACTATGTATCAGAAAACAGCCACTACAGTTGACATCACCCCAGAGCTTTCCACGGGAGGAAATCCCTGAGGTAGCAGCCTGTGCTGAAGCAGCCGATAACTACCTTACAGTTGTGAGCTGAGCATACAAAAGCCTGACACACTGCTCTTCTGGATGGTGGTGTTAATGAATTTCATTAAAAAGATACACTTACTCCAAGAATCCCGGTTTGTGCTTGTGCTCTACATGGGGTCCGAACTGGATCTGAGCTTGGAACCCTGCAAACTCGCAAGCTTTATCAAAGGAGACAGGGTGGGATCCATTCAATATATCATCTCTTGCCTGGAGGAGACATGAGGAGGGTGTTAGTGAGGCACACAGCTAAGAAAAGGACAGAACTACAAAGGCATCAGAATGATCCAAAATTCACCCAACACTGTTATAACGAACACTTCCTTGTGAGCTTTGGATGCACCGGGGCTTGAAAAATGTCTTCTGAGTTTATTTTTCTGGCGTGCATAGAACTAAACATAAACTCACACACATAGTGGGAGCGAAATAAGATTAATTTGTGACAATAATGGTAATTCTGCAGACACTCAAATATAGCAGCCTCCACAGTTTGTCATCATAGCCGATAATGTGTTATGAAAAAGAAGAGCAGAGCTCATAATATACTATCTGCATAACAAACTGGCCCTCAAATACTTCTTCCGATATCTCGGGATTCTTTCTTTTTGCTGTTGAGATGTCACTTATTGTATGTTTCAATGCGTTTCCAGGCGCGCTCAGTGCATTATATACCCCATTTGAATAAATGGAAAGGGAAAAGCCTTTGTTGACATCTTTCAAATGGTTCTCCCTGTGTGCTGTTTTCTCCAGGGGGCAGTCAGCTCTGCTTCACTCTCCCTTTCTAGTTCACTGCTGAAAATTTAATGGCTCCAAGAGCACAGAGTCCATGCTGACAGTAAGAGAGGCTCCATTTGTGCTTTTAGTATTGGCATATCAGTGCGCAGCGTGGACCGGGCTCATTCTAATGTCCCATTATATCAATGAAAAACTAAGCAGCAGCTTCCTGCTGTAATGAAGACAACAATCTTCTCTCGTTACAATCACATTCCTCTGTAAGTGCAATTCACGATGAACACAAGAAGACACTCTAAAATTAGCCTTCACACATGCCACTCAGACACTGCACACTGGATGGTATTATGCAAAGTAAGACAATTCAGCTGAAAATGGTCCTTTCATTTTACAGCAAGTGTTGCTCGTTGACTGGTTAGAGAGCACAATCTGCCAACATGCCTAAGTACTTTGAAAAGCCTATTTAGATTGAAAGGGACTAAATAAAGCACCAAGAGCAGAGTGTATAAAGTACTTCAGATTCACCGTTACATAATGTTTTGCATTTAACATCTTGACCTTTTACATATATGAAACATGCACATAGATACTGACTGTGTTGCAGTTTACTAGTGTTAACACAAAGACAATAAGAGATCAGGAGAAGACAGTAATGACACTCAAATGTTCAAGTCGATGACAGGTGTTTTAGGGATTTGGACACTAACAAATCACAGAATGATAAATAAATTGATCCTGTGGTAATGTATTGATTATTAAAATGATGGTGAAAGCTAAAGACCAGAATTGCAAAATAATATTTTCAATTGCAGTTCAATTAGAGTGCCCCATTCTTAATAATGTTAACGTATAAGATCTAGAGAGGACTGAAGACTCTAAGGGAGTCCTCAATCCAGTTATTGTGTCATTTGGCATATCTAAGCCTTTTCTCTTCCTTAAGAATGGCTTCTTGACAGCCATCTGTATATGTATACCATTTCTGATGAGGATTATAATCAGCTGAAGAGACAGAGGCTTTGCACTTCCCCAGTGCTGTATCACGCCTTTGCTGGAGTTTTGCTGAGTAAACAAATTTTTTTATCTACACACATATGCATATGAACATATTTTATTCTTTTAACTGGCGATTAAACCACTTACTTTGTCTTTTGCTTGTTATCAATTATTTATTACTATTAATAACAATGATGTTATATGTATAATCTTATTATTTTTAATGTGTGAATTTCTGTTGTTGTTTTCATATCTTCCCAATCATGGACCATGGACTGCAGCAAAATTATTTCTCCTTGAATGTTATTAAAGTATTTCTGAAAATTTCTGTTTCCTCTTTTTCTCTTAACCTTCCCTTCACGGAAAAAAAAGCTACACAAGCCGTTTAAGGAAAGTCACTATGAAATGATGGTATATCCTCCGGTATAGGTCGTCCTTGGCAGACAAAGCAGCACTAAGAACTGCATTCAACAGATATAATTTTGGGAAGAGAAAGTGTTTTTCTTTGTTTAGGACGGTGAATAAAAACATTCTAATTGGAGCACAAGAAAAAAAGCCAAAGAGCAAGACACACAAGAGTGATACTACAATACAGAGACTTGTCCATAGCTTAATATAATGGGAGTGTCTGTGTAAAGGAGATTAATCCATTACTGGCAGTGCTTTCATTGTGTCTGTGTGTTTTTGTTTGTGTGTGGGTGGGTGGCTGGATTTGAAAGCTTGGGAGCTCAAAATCACAAGCAGATACAGGATCAGAGTACATTTTATGGGGGTCTCAAAGAACATTTGGCATGTTATCAGCCGAATCATCTTATCTGAATTCCGTTCAGTCCGTTGTTGCTGTACACAAGCAGGTCAAAGTCACAGACACTATCGTGGTGAAATTTCTACTTTTCTTTTTTTACTCGGTGTACAAAGCTGCTCTCCAAAATCGCCTTCCTATGTACACTCAGGAAATATTAGGTTCCCCACTCTGCATGTGTGGTTGTACAGAGCAGATTATTCCAATAAGTGAAGATCATCTGTTCTGGTATATGTTTCTATGAAATCCATCCACAACAAACAGTGCCAAAGGAAATGCCAAAAAATTGTTAAGCACACTGTTGATCAAGCTCATGTATTGTCCTGGCTCTGTTCAATTTAGAAAACTGAATTAGTAGTAATCAAGTAGATTGCCAGCTAATACAACCACACACATTTCATTCTGAGTTTAGTCTTGTATTGTCTATTGAGTCTGTAATGTAGGAGCTCACTGAATTTTTACCAATTTAGGTCTGTATGTCATTGCTGTAAGGCAGAGAGAATACAATCACTTTCTTGTATTTCAAATTCACAGGGCAAAAAAGTTGAACAAGGGATCACTGGAACACAGAATGAGAGATGTTAAAGAGGAAAATGTGACTGAAAAAGAATCAGAGCAAATGAAAAAGAGGCCTGAGGTATGTTACACACTGTTGAGGATCTGTCCTCTGGCTCTGTTTGGCCCTTTTAACAGTGACAAATTAGAGCTACTGCTGTGTGAGGCGTCTCTGTGATCTGTGTAACAATCTGATTGTGTGTGAGAGACAGAACGAGGGAGAGATGGATGTAGGAGGACGAGGGCAGGGGGAGGAGTTGTTATTGTGAAAGGAAATATGAGTCTGTGTTGAGTGTAGACCATGATATGCACAGTGCCGCAATGTGTGCCAGGGAAAGAGGGTGGGGATGCATGTGACTATGTCAGAATGTGTGAGAGATGGAGAGGGAGTGGAGACAGGCATACTGGAAAGGAAGAAAACAGAGGGTGGAAATATAGAGGGAAAAACAGGATCAGTAAGACTGAAGGGAGAAGAACACTGAAAGCAGGGAGAGGTAATGGTTCTGTGCCTTTTAGAACCTCTCAGAAATTTCACAGGGTCAAGTACAAACATTTATACACAGTTGTTTTTTAATACATATTTAATTAGCTTAATTGTCTTCCCCTCACATGTGCAGTGCCGGGAGCTCATGTGTTTATTTACTGTAGTTTAAATCCAGGAGTCAGTGGGGGCAATCTGAGCCAGAGGGGCCGATATGAGCACAGAGAGGTGTGGAATTAAAAAAAAACCCTGACCACATGATGCAATTCACCTGCTTACCCTGAGGGGGGTCATTTGAATCAACCATTTAGTCAGTAATCTGCCGCCCCCCCCCCCCCCCCCTTTTTTGGGGGGGGTTTCCCTTCACTTTTATGTGGCTTTAATCAGGGCGTGAAGGAGGCAGGAGCCGAAACAGAGCATCTGAGTGACAGCAGGAGACAGGAGGTGCCACGGCAACGCTCAGGGTGAAAGCAGTCATGCATGCATTTAATATAAAGACACATAAATGCATGGAAGTAGATTAAAAACTTGCCAAAAAACTATAGAACTATTATCAAAATTTTAATTTGAATGACAATTTTAACCCAACTCCCAACTCTTTCATTCATAGTTTTTAGTTTAGTCCTCATTCATCTCTTTTGTTAATATTGCACTGGTCTCCTTAACCAGGAAGCTGTTTTTTTAAATGTAAAAAATCTCTTTAATTTGTGATGTTACACTAAGAGTCTAGCACCAAATAACACAAAACCAGAGTAAGTGACTAACTGGAGAAGTGTTTTGCAAGACAGAGCAAGACGTAAATGTACACTTAAACCAATATCAGCTGCTCCACTGCATTCAACAGCCAGATTAATTCCCCTTTTAACATCTAGTACAAAAGCTTTCCGCTCATATGAAAAGATTTTTGTTGTTCTACCATGGCACTGTATGAAATAAGAGACAAGCCCAACCTGTCTGGACCACATCTAAAGGAGCCACATTTCTGTACCTGGCCCTTGGCAAAACTCAAATGCTTGCTGCAAAATGGCTTTTGAATGGTTTGGCCTTTGGTTGTGTCCCCTGTTTTTATTAAAAAGGATCTGTAGAAAAAACACGTTGTCTTGTCAGACAACCACATTGTTTTAAATGATCACTTTTTAAAAGCTTTTTTTTCAAGCAACATCACTTTGTGTGAGAATCTCACCTGGACATAGAGGAGGTTCAGCTGGACCGGATCTCGGGAGTCCACGTTCTGGTCTGAATAGAAGAACTTGCGCCTGAGCAGCAGGGTCTCACTTTCCTCCACTCCCTGCTCCCTGAATGTCCGGCTGTGGTCCAACCAGTTCACTGCCCAACCAATACACACACTCCGTTACCACGTGATCAGAAATGAAGACTAGTGCACTATCAATATGTTATTATAGGGGGAAGGTCATTGTGGATTTAATCCAACAGTTTGAAAATGACTTTTTGGCAGAAATGTCACCTTTGACAGTTTTCCAAATTTATCGTGGAGAGACAAAAATCTTGGTATGATATGTCATTATTTTCTGCTGTAAGAAATCTCACAATCTGCCAATGCAGGATAATGCATTGGCAGATATATGCCGGGCTGATACATTCATACATTTCAACACTGTAATTGGTCTCCCCTGGCAAAAGATAACTTAAGCAGTAGCATTAAACTTCCATGTTTACTCAACAAATTCCACCTAAGTGATAATGCATGGTGTCTAGGTACTGGTTCAAATCGGTTTAAATAAAAAATAAAAAATAGAGTGAAAGCCAAAAAGATATCTGATGTTTTTGTTTTTGCCAGCTTGCACTCACAATCATCATCTGTGTGGAGCTTGGCTTTGAGCTTTTCCATTTTCCTCTCATCTCGGAGCAGCAGGGTTCTGTCTTTCTTTAGCGTCCCCATTCCATCCTCCTTCTTGTCCTCTGTCACCTCTTGGATGAGGGAGTACTCCTCATAGTTGGTGATTCCTGAAAAGTTGGCCAAGGATATCTCAAAGGACAGAACGTTTTGAAGAAAATGCACTAGTATGGGGAGAGCGTTTTTGCAATTCTATTGCTCTGTTTATCGCTCTCAGTCACTCTGAAACACAAGTGTAGGAAAGCCAGTAGAGAGACAGCAAGCTAAAATAGGAGACAAGCACGAGAGGAAGCCAAGCAGAAAGCCCTACTCTGAATAAACATTTTCCAATAAAGCTATCTGCCAGATACTCTTCCTCGCACAATTAGGCTTGGTAGCAGCCCATTATAATTGAAATATACAGCTTAGGGAACACCTCTGTAACGGGAAAGATGGGAAGGTCTGGGACTGAGGACAAACACTTCAGCATTCATTACAAACAAGCCTGTTAGAACTTGATAAATCATACCCATTGCACTTGAAACAAGAATAATTAGGACTTTCTCGAGCACACATAAAGGCTTTAAGGTGCTTAACAAGTGCTGCTATTCAGAAATGAATCCAAGGGAGCATATTACCAACTACATCTCAGTATGAAGCCAAGTGGCATGACAGGACAGACGGGGAATAATTTGAGCTTTGAATGGTGGATTGATGGAACTCATTTTCACGGACTTCACTGCAAAGACACGTACCTATTCTACTGCATATTGTTACAAGTAGCTCGCCAACTGTTTTTGAGTCATCCACCATGATGGTTTTTACTGCACCATCCAGCATTTTGATCTTCTGTGGCCTTTGTTTCTTCTTATACTCCAAGACATCCTGAGAAAACAGGAAGGGAAGCTTAATGATATCCACAGCCTCACTAATCCTCACTACAGCCTCCACTGCAAACTGAATTCGCTCCCAGCAAGTAGTGAGGCATAAATATCTCAGCTCCCACTAGAAAAAATTAATCATTTTGAAAAATGACAACTGACATCGACAGGTCTCCACCCTGGACTGTATGATTTAATCTTACTCCATTTCGCAGCATGTAGTAATCCAGCGTTCTCCCAGACTCAAGCCAGATTCCTTTCCGGGGATCATCATCGGAGAGGAAGAGGCCATAATCTGAGGCTGAAACACAAAGCAAAACAGAGCATGCAAATGCTCACGTCGATGGATTTCCACAATGCAAATGGGATTTTTGAGTATTTTTCCTACCTTGTCCCGTCTGTGCTTCAGGAACTCGCTCTCTGATGATCCTGCATGCGTCATATACAGGGGTGGACGGCTCAAACTGCATCGTCTTCACCACATTGCACTGGCGCACACAGATCTTTAAGGACAAGGCCACCATCTTGGTGGGTAGTTAAATAACCTCACCAACCTACACACCTGAAAAACACAGACAAAGAAAAGCACATATGGTGAGCTTCAGAGAGTGTGTGAAGCCACTGTCCTGGCCAGTTACCTAAATAATTGGTCAGTGTTTTACATGATTTCAAGAACCCATTATTAAAATGTTTCCTGGTAAAAACAAATGGACCTGAAAGTGTGAGGGAAGAATCTCAGAGGAAGAATATAACATCACAAGGCACAGAGCAAATCATCACAATTGCCTCCTCTGGGTCATTTTTACCTGTCAAACTGAACATGCGTCTGTAGTTAACCTGCCTCAGCAGCTCATCATTCCTCAGCTGCTCTGATATTAAAGGGGAAGTGCACGAGGAGCATCTGCTTGACTGCAGCGGATGTGGAATTAGTTGATCAAAAAGCAAAAACAGCTTTCATGTAGAAGAGGGGAAGGAGTGAAAATCCAAGCAAATCAAGTGGCAAGCATAAGTGCAGACAGTTCAAAATATATCCAACTGCTGCACTATTACTCACTCCTCCCCGGGTTCGCACTCTCCTCTGCAAGCACATTTCACATTGAGACAAATCTGTGGGTGTTTTATCATATGCAGCCATTAGGCTGAAATCAATTCTGGTATTCTGGGACTCACATGTTCAAAAAAAAAGGAGAGCGACTGATCCTGCAGTGGATTTTCTTTTTTCCTCGTCCTTGACCTTGGCTTCAACACAGAGAGAGATGAGAGTGATAAATAGGCCCCCTATACCAGGAAGGCTCTCTGTCTCCTACATACAGATTATTGATCTGAAATGTAGTTGTTTCATTTTCTAGAGAAAATGCCTCTGTCACTATAAAATGAAAATATCATTTACAACACCTGAAAACGGCATTTTTACTGTCACACCCAAGCGACATATTGATGATTTCCTTGATTTACCGGTTAAATAAAAAAAGCTGCAACACGCCACAAACTGAACCACCAAAATGGTTATTTGCCTTCCAATTAAAAATTGTACTTATAGTATAGTGTAGTTCTTATAGTTTGTTTTTATTTTTAAATAATTAATCAATTGCTCCCAAAAATATGCGACGGATTCAACAGAGGCAGCGAAGGAATTCAGTTTTTTTCTCCATGGTCAGATACAAAGGCAAGTCCAAATCTTCACCGTGACACAATTCAGAACTTTGTTACAATTTTCAACAAAGGGCGTTTTTGTGCCAGAATTCACAGCTGATCCACAGGCCCCTTTTGAGCCGAGGAAGAGCGAGTGTGAGAAGTAAATATTCCCATTAATGACGGAGCTGTGAATGGGCCCGCCTGGGACGAAGCCTCTGCCACAGCCATGGATTCCTCTCAATAACTACTCTCCTTCTGTAAGTTTTTCCTCGCAGGAAGAGAGGAAGACAAGAACAAAGAAGAGGAGGTAATGGCGCTGCATGAACTCTCCTCCATACAAGCTGGCAGGGGAGCCCCACAGAGTTTTAGTCATCCTTCCCTTTCATGGATGCTCTCTTCAAGACAAGCAGCCAGATACCCCAGACCCACAATCCAGCTGGAAACACAGGCACAACACAAAGAGTGTGTGATAACAACGCCCGTGAAATAAATAAATAAATAGGAGACACTGTTGAAGAGGATTTCCCAGAAGTACACCTCATCCAGCGTGCCAACCCTCCTTTTGATGGGATGCATTTGAAGAACCACACTCTGTGAGTGCAGTATCCCTGACATCAGTTACTTCAGATTGTAAATGTTGCAGTAATCATAAAGTGAATCCCAAGTGGATAGTGATAATCCCCGTGCTTAACCTAGTGTGAGAAAAACATCTTTCACCGGAATATCTGTGAAAGCACTCCACTACCGCCGGTCCCTCATTAGCTCTGCTCTCCAGCACATTTGAGACACGCCCAGTGTGTGTAGTTCCCTGCATTTTTGTATCTTACTTCACTCGTAAGATCAAATGTATCCACTCTAAATGTGTAAACCCATTTCACATGACAATCGGTACTAAATCAGCTTTTTTTTATTTATCAAATAGCATGTAAGGGTGACTACAGAGCAGCTTACTGAGGAGTCAAAAGGTGGACAGGTCAGTGGAGAGCCAGGGAGACGATGCGGCTCTAATGAGTGGCCGTAGTAGCAGCAGCAGAGCAGAGACTGAGGGAAAAGCTGCTGTGATTATTTCACTCGTCTGTGTTACTTTAACAAATGGGATTGTGCAAAGTTTGAGTCTGACTAGAATGTTAAAATATTCAGTCTGATTCTGAGCAGCATGGCAAATGATTGTACCATAAATACGAGAAGTGTGAATGATACTCCTTGAAGACTAAATCTAATGGTGTTTCTCGTGCAAAGTGCAAAATAAGGCACGAGACAGCGAAAGCCAAGTGGAGAAGATACCTTACTATTCTTGCAGTCTGCTTGACATTATACACTGCAGCAATTATCAATTAATTAGGAGAAATAGCCTCTATGACACACTGAAAACAAAAAACATTAAAACACACTAAAAGAAAAACTAAACGCGAACAGAATACAATGACATATTTCTAGTGTAAATCACCGGCTGTTTTTAGAGTACCAAGCCTGGCCTCTGCTACAGGATTTTCAAGGTCAGCCCAGTAAATTGAGGCAACAGGAAAAACACTAATGATTCCCTTGTCAAAAAAAGGCGAAAAAAAGTCAATTACACACACTCCATTTGCGCACAGTCACAGAAGCAGAGACGCAGATGAAAACATCTCTTCTTCTATTTACCCCAGCATGAATTATTATTGTGAGTGTGGAAATAGCCAAAATGATGATATTTTGTACTTCCAGCCAGCATAGCTATTGTGAAGATCAACAATTAGTTTCCAACAGGCTGTATTCCACCTGGGAAATATTCTAAACTACAGTTGTGATAGTAAAGCAGGAATGAACTGCCCAGGATAATTACTGTCTAGTGCATTATGATTCTAAGCACAGAGGACTGGGTGGTGCTGGGTGATTTAAACATGAACTTTACCATGTTTTGAGAGCTAAGAGAAAGTCCAACCTCAGCAGTATCAAAACATGCATGCACAGAGAAAAAGTTCCCCCCCATACCTGCCTCTATTTCATCCCTACATCCTGCACTGACACTATCAGCAAGACATAGGCATTTTAATCTGTCCAGGGAAAGCAGGGTAAGTCTCCTGCACAACTGTATGAATCTTCCCGGAATAAGTCCAGAATTAATACACGAGACAGAAAACAGGGTCTGTTGATCCGATTAACTTTCAGGTTCTATTGAATGCTCCTGCACCTCAATTTATCTTCAACTCCCAAAAGCCCTTCAGAAGAATTTCTTTCAACAGAAATGTGAAGTGAATGTGGTCTCCACACATATAAAATGCGGAACTGTCGTTTTGCACATTTCATGTTTCAACTTAGATGATTACAAGGTCTTAATCATCAACCGACAATACATCATTACTGTAGGAGTGAGATATAAATGACTAATTATAAACTATCAAATAGCTCTGCCCCATAATCTGGAAAGAAGAGAAGTTCTTTGCTCAGCCTGTGTGAAACATATTAGAAGAAAAGTTCACCGTTCCGTATAGGTTTGCTGTGGTGATGCTGGTTTGTTTTATGAGTTATATAATCTAATCAGGTTTAAGTCAAGAGCTGCCGGTTGATACACAATACAAAAAGCATTAGGCAATTTCCCTAAATTTGGAGCAACTAACAGATGGATTATATTTCCAACAATATTTGAAAATGAACGTTGATTTCTATGACAGACTCTTTGGATTACTGGGCCTACTCGTGGGTGACCCACTCTGCCATAATGTAATTCCATGGGTATAGATACTGACAGAAACTATTAATCTTGCCCTTGTTGAAGGAGGGAGAGAACATCTCCTGTTACACTAAAAATATCTGGTGATGTAGAGCTTCCTGCAGCAGCGCTGCCTCTGAAGGATCCGGAGCAGAAGAGGAGCATCGCACAATATCACCTACATTCTTAAAAGCCAGTAGTCCTGACACTTCTTAAAATATCACAGAGCAGTCATTAAAACAGACTGACACCAGGATTTTAGCGTCCATATATTAAATATTACTATTTATTATTAACACAGGGAGCGATCCTGAATGTACTGTTGTTCATTTGCAGAGTTTAAGGATTGGCTACCTAATAAATAGAGGCAGAAACAGCCTCCTGAGGTGGAGAACTCCACCCAGCAGCTACAGTCACTCAGCCAATCAGCCCAGAGACTGTGGGCTGACCCTGCTTCTGAATCAGTGCTCAGAAGGGAGCGGTTTACTGTGGCTCCAACAGATGTTGCTCAACCATTTTTATTTCATTACATACACCCGTGGATGCAGATCGGCCCCAAATTTAGAAAGGCCTCAGCCCATGATGATTTCATTATAAGACTGAAAGCATTTTTAGTCATAAATCTCAGATGTGGTTGAGTGATCACTACAATAGATTATGTGATATATGATGTAACAGGCACTGTGTTAGAGTCAGCAGCTGAATGTTTTGGATTTTAAGACATCTCAGTCATTTTGCAGATGGAAATCATGCATCTTAAGACTGAGGACAACAGTCAAAACTAAGAACAGAATACTTCAACTTATTCATGCGTGTGATGAAGAAGCTAAGCTATAGTGTAGTGGTTGTTTTCTGCTTTTTCAACAGATTATTTCTTTACCTAATTCTCCCAAACCACATAACATATTTTGACAGAAGAATCTGTATTTATGAGTAACATGACTGTAAAATACTGAACAGGTGTTTATCTGTAATAAACTCCTAAACTTCTCACTGCACACTTCGCTGCCTGTTATGTACCGCTTACTGCATGCCATATGGAGGATTTGAGGAATTGCAGACCAAACATATTTCAGAATGTCGGGCCTGGAAGGCATTCATTCCCAACAATTTACTTCAGAACATAATTTCACGCGAACAATATTTTAATGCCTTTTCAATACTTTTTTTTCTCACACTTCAGCACATGCCTTGTTCATA